GACAAGCACAGATCAGCCCTCAAGTCTGCACCAAAAAGCACCGATAAAGGCGTGTGGCCTTTTTGTACCCAATGCACTGCGTACTTCACTTTGTGCAGGAAAGAGAAATGCTACAACAATATCAGAACCGTAGATCGGTCTCAGAATTGCGTCTTCGCTTTAAGTGAAGTGTTTTGGGGGTATTCCTTCACCCCGACAACAAAGCAGGGCTTTTTTGTACAATATACACAGCGGGTTGGTTTCCTAACATAACTGTTACGTAATGTTTAGAAAATATGTCATTAACACAACAACGCTCTTTATCTGCTGGATGGGGTCCCCCAGGGGTTGCACCGACCCCATAATTGCATTTACCACTTTAAAGCTGATTAAAAACATGGACGACGAAGACAAATAATTTATAATTGGTTAGGTTGTACTATCTACAGAAATGCCCTGAAATCTATATCTCATTTAATCAATGCAGATTCTGTGCAGTGTTGACGAATTGTACTATAATACTCAAATAATACCACTGTACCCCTTTTATTTCTGGAGTACGTGCTACAGTTTACATATACTGATATCATCGTGTAATGGAATATAACCTGAGCTTTTATCATTTGTATCTTGAGGTAATTTCTAAAAAAAATTTTGTAAATATAATAAACTTCAAACAATATTGAAATTTTACTTAATTTGTCAATTTTGAGATTCATTTTCATAAGCCATATTTTTTGGAAAATGACTCGGTCGAAATGCTTTATTTGGCCGAATACTGCACCGATATTGTACTGAGTACGTGTCATTCTTCTCATAGGTCCAACAGACCCACCATAGAGAATCAAACCATTAGTGAAATTGCGTAATTATATAAAATATCACACCAGAGCATTCACTCATAAGGAATTTTTAATAATGGCGCACCGACACTTCATATTTTTCGTATGGCAAAGCATATTTTAAAACAGATCATACACTCTACGGGAGTGATGTTTCTTTTGAACCAAAATTATTGACGTAAGTACAACATGGTTTCAGATTTGATCGCAATCCAAGAGGAAAAAAACAAACAAGCATTTCCTGGTATTTCTAAATAATCAAACATGGCTAAGAAAAAAAATCTATTTCCTTGACCTTTTAACCGTTGACCTTTTTAATCAACGTGCTTATGACTCAGCTGTTTATGAACAAAGTGTGTCAAGGTCAAATTAAATTTTTAACGTGAAGCTGCAGGTGCAACCTAAGTGCAATGGAATTCTGACCTGCCTTTTTACAGAGATCTTAAAAAGGAGTGTTTTTGAATAATTTGGAGTGCTACCCCTCCAAAACCGCATAGATGCGAAAGGTTGGTTCTTGACACTTCACAAACAAAATCGACATCACGGTAATGAATGGCTGTATATATGCTACACCCAAACCAACCTTTTTCACATACATGAATATTAATTGTTAACGTTATAAATTGTACCGAGAATCCCCCTTTCGTTTAACAAGTCTAACAATGAAATTATAAACATTTTACATATGGCGTGTACAGTTGTACTTAATATCCATAGAAACCCAGTCATGGAGGACCAGCCTTTGAAAAAGGATACGTTTGGGAAACCTCTATTGATATCGTAGGATGGTACATATGACCGGGGATATGAGGAACACTTCTGTGTTTCTCATTCCTTGTTTTTATCACGAATGGATGGATTTGTCAATATCTTTCAATGTTATAATCAAAGGAATGGATATCAGTAACTTTGCTTTCTGACATTAAAACCTTTCCAGTTGGCAATTTATCAATCCTGTTTCTTAAATTCCTCTCGACATTGCACAAGACATATACTTAATACTCCTTCTAATGTGTTTAGTCGCCAGATTTCTGATATAATTACTAAAATTACGACGGCAGGCATTCGATATGCGTTTTGGTTACTTCATAGAAAATACTGCACAGATAATTTGCATTGCCTGCAAATACGCATTGCCTTTGAGTGTAAATCAACGTATACTTAGCAAATTTAATAAACTTAATATTTTGATTTATCTTCTAATGCTGAAGACTCAATATTCTAATTCACATAGCAGTCTTAAAATGACATAGCATTTAAGTTTTAGACACGATACAAAAGTATCATCTACATACCAACTGTCAGGTCTGCCATATTTTCGATTTATACCAAAGAGGACCTGAATATTCTGATAGTTTTATATACAATACAACCACGGCCATATGAAATTAAGATTTCGGTATTTTGAAATCTTTCCAAATAGTACAGGCAATTTAAAGATCCAAGGTTTGCCGAAATCGGCAGTTTTTATTTCACATTCCTTTCAGTAAGATATTTTTGTAAGTGTTTGTTCCTTACCATGTTTCCATGGTAACTAATGGACCTTTAAATAATGTGAAATATACATTGTAATACACGTTAGGTGAACGAAACAGCTGTTCCAGTCTAATCCAGTGTTCGTTTCTAGGTTATCTAATTCGATATTGGTATTGAAAGGTGGCACCCATATGTTAGTCTTTTGTTTAGCTGTGTGTAATCCTCTAAAAAATATATGTCAAAAATATATATGATATATCGATTTAAATTATTTGTTCATATTCAAAGCAAAATTATAAAAATGAAATTCCATGAGACAGAGAACAGACATACGTGAATTCTATCTACACATTTATTGAATCAATAAACGTTTCCTTCTCCCAGTATGATACGTGTAATAACAGTAATCCTACTCATACGACTCCGAGTAATTTTACAGGATAAAACATTGATTTCAAAACATATTCACATAGGTACATGTTAATATGAAGGACTGTCGGTGCTTTAGAACACGTATTTGATATCAATTAATACTTTCAGTAGGTATTGGTTTTAATCTATAATTTACAATAGTGAGTACAAACATTGTACAAACGACACACTAGGGGAAAGTATGTTTCAATACAAATTATGCATTGGAGACGGTTGAGCCAAATAATGAAGCGAATTTCAGCATACATATGTTCCGTCCTTCTCGAACACGTCATTGATATCTGATGCCAATGTTTTAAAATCTAGATGACGATCAATGAAAGTAATGAAGAGATCGGAAGAAAATTAAGAATCTAGATGGGTCAGTGTATTTATCCTATAACTCGTAAACCGTAAATTTTATAACCTGATATTTTCTGACGAAAGCCTCGTACATTTGTATATTCGAGTCATGCCACTATTGGAATGGATTAAAACATGGTTCATCACCAATGTCTTCCATCTGCAATCTTAAAGATTGAACAAAATATACTTTTTTCAATATGAAAATTGAATTAGATACGGTAGAGACAAACGATGAACTGTACTGTGTCGTACAAAATTATATTGGCACAAAAATGGACACTTATTAAATGATTGTCAAATTAATATCGCCCTTTAGATGCCTCCAAACATCACATCAATTATTCATGAACTCATATTGACGATTTTTGCACCGAATATGTACTGCTATATGGAAGTGTACTGCCTTACACACCGACCATTTCAGGGATGGTGTTTCTAATCAAAAATCCACAAATCTTTCCTCGTTGATATGAAAGCTTAATGGCGCGTGTTGTAATAATAACACATTAGCATACGTAATCTCGCTGAGCGTCGTCATAAACAATGTTCTTACGTAAGAGATTAAATACAAGAGAGGGCATTTAGATCACATCATTTAAAAAAATTACAAGCCTATCCAAAAACAAAAAACAAAAAAAATTGGTATGAAATTGATTGATGTATTTATCATTCCTGTAAACTAGGTCAATAACCCAAGTGGCCTTTTTTTCACAAATTTCAAATCTCGGTTGTTTAAACAGGCGTAATACTTTCACTCGTGAATGATAAGTAAATATTTATATTACGTCATTCCCTGACAAACTTCATTTGTCATCTTTCCAGATCCCCGTGGTGCCTATGACGCTAAGAAGCCCCTTTGTGACTGTTCCTTAATTTGACGACTGCTGTGTTATTCTCATTTGTCATTAACACGACATTTCCTGTGCAGCGTCCCTGGTGTGTGGGTTTAGTGCAGGAGTAGGATAATAAATGCCGGCATTTATAACCAATCAATACAGTCACATTTTAATTTTTGATGTCAGAACGAGATTATCTCCTCTTTTACATCACACATCTCATATTTATTAATGGGCAATTTAGTAACGTTATTTATCAATTATATCCTTTACTTTTGAAAAAAAAATATCGTAGTTTATTCAGGATAATAGAACTCTGCTACCACTTGTGTGTACCAAACTGAGTGAATGGTTATTTCTCACAATTCAAGCAACTTCCTAAACACGGTGCGTAGAACCCAACCTAAGACACACTAAATATTGATGGTCTAACCAGCTTTGACGTTTCATTTTTTGACCGAAAATATCTATTTTTTTCAGTTGGGTCGAGATTAATTTCATAATTTTCAGCGTAGGCAAAACCATTACCTTGACTGGGTAATGTGATTTGTAACAGAATAAAAACTTACTCTGAGAGTGATGAAGATACGTTGCTGAAGAAGAAAAGGAGATTTAGGACAGAATTGTGGAAAGAGCAGGTTTTAATCATCTTTACACGGTAAATCAAATCTATTTCAATAATATAAATTACCTTCATTTTCAATGACGCCTGGATGATCTAATTTTTAATCATAAAAATTTTTAAAACCTTATACATGTATTTTGTAAGCCATACAATTAATTTCAGCAAAGCAGTCATAGAACTCACATAGGCTTTCCAGTATTATATAGAGATACAATGAAAGCAAGGTCAAGGTTCATGGCATGAGTGATGAACTTTCGCTGTACTCTAATCACCTTTTATCACCACGTCACATCGACTGACCCTCCCATCCCGGTTTACTTCCCCCTCCTCTTCTCTGGATCATCGAATACCCATGTGTGTATACTGTGTGTATACAATTGTACAGGTAGCGCGTCGTGTATATATATGACAGTAAACACAAACTGAAGCTAGTAGTGTACGAGCCAGCAGACGGAAGAGGTGCCGTATAGCATAGGACGGTTCATTCAAACAAACACCGCCACAAGGCTAGCGTGGATCCAAGTAGTGTCTTTCAGCAACAATGGACTTATATTCGTTAAAGAGTGTTTGAGGAATACTATATAAAACACGTACACTGTCAGAATCCACTGTCATGTATTTCTGATAAAACACAGAGGAAAGAACACTGATCTCGAAACCAACTGGAGTTTATCAAATAAAACCTACCACCGGTCTCTCTTAGTGTTTTGTGTTTGTGTGTGGTACATCTCCACAGCTTACAAAAGTATTGGATAGTTGCAGCGTTTTAGATCTGTACCATGGATGTTATTTTATTTACGGTGATACTAACACTGATGGCAGTGCAGTGCACACTTACTCGAGCCAATACGGAATTCTCTAGCTCAAGTGTGGTGAGTATTGAACAGTCTTGTCATTATCAATCATGATCTATATCATGTTTATATATCAACTGGTATGGCAGTTATTGAGCACAAAATATCGTAATATTCATATTTCTGCTTTGCACGAAGTTCTTTGTGTATGACCTTGTATTTTGCTTTCAACACGAGTTGTATTAACCACACTTTATCTGGGAGATAATTTATATCCTTGTATTTTGCTATTTTGCTGTAACTGGGTAACTCGCTGTAAAGGTTATTGATAAAACGCAGTAAGCTGTACAACACTACCCAGTTTGAAAGTTGTGTGTGACAGTCGTGTGATATTTAGTGTGCCTAGTTGTCTACAATCTCTGTCTATATGTGTCAGTGTAGGCTATTTACACCAATACCCTTGTACGAGATACTATCTATGTGTGTGTGTGTGAGCCACTTTTATACATAATGTGTTGCTCTGGTTGGACCCCTAGTGATATTAAAAAAGGGTTTGCGAGGTTCCAAATGATCTAGTTCATTTGGTTGTGGGGTTCCTACAAATGGCTGCAATTTGTATTTACACCAGTATTTTGTATATCTATTTGTAAATTTGTTTTTGTGTGTGTCTCATTAGACACTATGTAATCCTCTCACTGCTATTTATGACTTTAATCTTATTTAACACTTTACGTTTGTGTTTTCTGTCCCTTATTTGCGTTAATGATACAATTGTACCACACGTGATACAGGGAACATTATTCATTATTGCAGATGCCAAACATAGTGTTTTATTGTCTTATGCAGTGTACGCACCTTCCTTTAAGTTATTTGATGTCTTCTGTCATCATTGTATATTGTTTTCACCAAAGTGTGCACTGCGGTTTGAGGATATTTCTATTTTTGTTTACTACGTGTTGAATGTTTCTGTGTGTTGGTTTGATAAATGCACAATATATTTACACACACTAAACCGGTTGTGTCACGAAACAATAGCTTCATTCAGAAGTTAGAAGTTAGTTTCGATGCACTGACAAAATACCTCATGTTATTGTGTTGTAAATGTTATCCTTTTTATTGTTTCTGAGTGTAAACCCCGATAACACGACCTGGCTTTATCAACACACACTGAAACCTTGATACAATGACATTCATTTATAACATGTACAGTTATGAAACAAATATCCTCCACAGTTAAATATTCCAATTTTTCACGCGTTATTTAACTTCCCTTTTTCATGAACATTCCCCCCAACCCTGAAGTCCAACACCCGTTGTTTCGGGAATGTCATCTGCTTTATGGCCAAAATCGATCAACGTTGTCAAAAATAATATTTTCTCGTGGCAGCATATTAATTTACAAGGTGTAATATGACATTATGAGGTCTTTATCTCCGAGCAGTTTTGATATCTTAAGCTAAGGTTCAGAGCTGAAGGTAATTAAATATACACTCTACAGAATTCACTCAGATGAATTCCTATCTACATGACTCCACTGCCGAATGGTGCTAGCAAGTGTGCTGTGTATATGTTACCTGCACAGATAAGCGCATGATTCGTTCCATATTACCAGTAGAGACACAGTTGTGTTGTAATTATTTCCCATTGTGCAATGGTGTGTGCGTTATTCAAAGTATGTTATTTTCAAGGTAGGTATAGTGTACTTGTATATTTCCTAATATTTAGAAACGAGCATTTCTATGTGGGTCATTACAAAAACCAATGTGTTTAACAGTGACACAGGCTTGCACACCTGGGGTACGCTCTATCAGGCAAGGTAATTTTTCACAGGTATGTTTCCGACATTACAGTGGTGTCATGCTATTCACATACCTTTGTCATGTCAATTTAAAGGACAAAATGGTACATTTTTTCATGAATAGACAAAACTGTAATGCTAAACTCATACGGGTGGTATATCTTATACACGAGACTCAAGACTTTGATGATCTTATGCATTGCTTACGACCAAGTATTGTACAATTAAATTTTTAACAAGGGGACAAGTACTTACATTCAACACAACATTATCCTATTCTTTCTGTCATCGAATTAAAAGGGTATAAAACCACATGACATTTTAAACAAATTATGTTGTTTGTATTGTCTGAGCTCTTAAATGTGTTGAATCAGAAATCAATGACGAGTCGTTAAATGACGAAACATATGCATGGTGCATTTTATTCATTTTTTGTCCGCAGATAAATCTAAACTGATATAAGATATTGTATGCCTCTAAAAGATAAATGACATGTTTACATATGTGAAATCATTACGAATAATCTAGACCAAAAGAAATGTTACTCTGGTCAGATATGTATGTATGTATGTATGTATGTATGTATGTTTGATGTATGTATGTATGTATATGCAAAACGCATGTGGTTTATATACACGATGAAATTTTGCTATTCCTAAATATAAACATACCACTTATTTTTTATGACGCAAACAGATACTTTCCAACATACCTCCATCGCGTTAAACAAATAAAGGCAGGCGAACCAAACTTTGATTGCCATTCTTTCGTAATACACACGTCATCTAAACATCTAAACCATGTGTATAGGAACCAGCTTAAGATAAATAGAAACTTGTACCCTCTTCAGATTTAATCACTCACGAGATTCGTGTCGTAATCCTAAGAACGATACCCTTCTCAATTCTGGCATTGTAGCTATTAGGGATTTCTTGAAAGAACTGCCAATAGAGATCAAAGACTCGCGTTTTAACTGTCCTTTGTATGCATTGCATCATCTGTGAAGAGATCGTGTCATGCATACAACGGCACGCATCCCATCAAATCTACCAAAGAAACCTACCGCTGCCACCAATAAGGCTCATTAACGAATTTCGATTTGTTCACAAGATAGGGTAAGAAAAAGAGCTAATTTGTCTGAAGCTTTTTACAATTTGAGCAAATCAAAGGGCACTTATTTAAGATACATGTAATAAAAATGCACTTTGACACGAATCTGTCTACAAAAATTGTTTAAATCTGAAACAAAATCTCCAAATTGAACTCATCATTGACTTAAACGCGTGAATCATAGATGGCAGAATGAATCGCAACACTTGACCGAAGGTGATCACAGTATCATCATGACAGGGTTTACATTTCATTAAGTGTGTAGTACCATACAGTGACATACGCCTTCTTCCCAGAAGAGTTCACAACAATTCACAACTATAGCTGCTTACCGAGACTTTGGCATAGAACTTATATCTGTCACTCTCGTCTCCTCTGCATTTCCTTTTTGTGTTGAACCGAAAATATTCACAGAAAACTTCGAACATATCCATTCTTATTTGCAATGTTTTTCCTTCCTGGTTTATTAAAAAAATTTTTAGCTCAATGTCATACTTAGGTGGTACACTAACTTGGTACAGTCGAACCTCATATATCTCGAAGTCGGCGGACCTGTTGGAAAACCTCCACTTATCGGAGTATTCAATATAAGTGAATTAGAATGTTTAGTGTGAAATTTGGCAGGGACCGACGGAATGCGTCGAATTAAACGGGGTCTTCAAGTTATATGGGCTCGAGATAACGAGGTTCGACTGTATATGTCATGTACAGTCATGGTATCTCATAAACACATTGTCATGATGCATTGAAACATAGATTACATCATTGCATTTTTATGTTCATGCTTGACAACGATTTTATGTTCATCCTTGACAACGAACCCTGTGTGATCCAGCATCCTGTGCTGTAAGAATTACAATAGTAATCGCATGTCACTGGGGAATTAAAAGACTTTTATTTTCGATAAAAGGATTTTCTGAACGATGTTGTCCAGTTCTGTTACGACATATTTTTAAATGGCATGTTAGCAATATATTTAGAGCTGGGCAGGTCTCTTTGGGTAGAGTCAATAACATATTCTATTCTATTATTTTGGATAATAGAGGATGTTGGAATAAAATAAGGCCAGATAATAACGGATGTGTTGGATTGAATGTTATATCAATATGGAATACAATTGTTTCATTCCGCGTTTAAACAGTCTAAATGTACAAAACTATTGCACTGCATACAAGCAACACAAAACCGTATGCTATGTTATTTGTTTTTTTCTTTTCTTTGAACAGAACAATTCTATAACTAACACTCGTGTATATATAGATTTTTACTTTCGTTTCAGGATTATTTAATGAAATATGGCTACCTATCAAATGAAGGCAAGCATAGCGGGTCATTAAGGTCACAAGAGGTTGTCAGCAATGGTATAGCGCAGTTCCAGCGTATGGCAGGTTTACCAATTACCGGTAGGTAACTAAAACACACCATCAAGTATAGTTGATAACGAAGTTCGCCCTTTGGCTAGGCCTTAGTCCCATGGGATACGATGCAGTTGTATTAAAAAACCCAAAACATCGAAGTATGGTTATCTTATATCAATGACTAAAACATTTTAACCTGTCAATTCATATTCCAGATCACGTGCAGATATTTGATATTAAACCTGCTTCTATATTAAGAATCATATTTCCAGTTATCGTCGTCTCATTTCAAAACATTTCTTGTAGATAAAAAATATCGAATCTATATTATTCAAGTGGCTTCATGATGACAAAGCTTTATACATTGTTCGTTCCGGAGGCTTAAATAATAGAAAATGTATTGTGCAGACGTTTTTCAATCGTCCCGATGACAATAGAGCAAACACTAGTCGAACACGCTGTTCTACGAGAACCCTAAACCAGTAATTATTTTTAGAGTGCTGAGTTTGGTAGACTGTGCTTTCTTCTGGTTTCAAAGTAAGTAATGTCAAAAGGTGAAACGCGGAAAATAGAATTTGACACGGGTAAAAACACAAAATAGCTTGCTATCTAACCTCCCTGCAGTTATGCAGGCAGAAAATTATATAAACTAAATACCACGACACAGGAACGAAATTACTGACACAGGTTATACTATTCATCAACACTTTTAAACAAAATATCTTTTCATTGAAATATAATTGAACTTCAATTATCAATCATATCTCCTAATTTTCAACAATTAATTCAGGAATCAGATTAATCAAGGAGTAACATGTTTTTGCGATCAGATGATATCAACTTAACTGAAAAAATGACTTAATCCTTTATGCAGTTCAATATATAACCTTGTCCCTATGAACCAATGGAAGCTTCATTCGTGATTGTGTGATGTTGGTGTTTACAGTACACATATCCCTACTTCGTATTGACCAATATTGCTGCAACATCCACCGACCGGCGTATTGACTTGGCTGACAGTGTAAAGAATGAAAACAGACTATATATTTAAAAGCGATCGACTTCTATCCCTACAAAATTCATATAACCATACAACAGATGAATGGCATTAATCTATAAACTAGGCACTAGTGCACTTCATAGTCTAGAAAAACTAATGGAATTTATTTTGCAAATACACGGTCTGATTGAAATTGATGTTTGTCGAACCATTTAGCACCCCTAAACATTGCTGTAGTTAGAGATGTCCTAATTGAACAACATTAAAGTATATCGAACCCGTGTACCTTGCGGGGATCGATTCTTTTGGCATTTTCAACACTGTCTGGATCCGAATCTGTAGACTTGTTAAACGCGAGCCTCATTCGGGGATAAGGGTCCCACACAAACCAGGGTCTGTAGATGGATGGCCGTAGGCAAGGATCGATACCAAACTTGATTAGGTGTTCACTCGATAAAATGTACCAACATATTTCGCTTTTGCTTGTTTTACGTCTAAATGACTTCTAATGCAGTCATTTGAATGAGGTTTCTACTTCTGCCTACAGCATTTATCTTTTTTTTTCATTATGTAGTCATTCTTATTTCAACTCATTTGTCATTTAAGGTGTTGAAATAAGTTTTCGCTGACGTTCTTTAAACTTTTGCAATGGAGTTTGAGAAAAATGAATAGCAACGATTTTGAGGTTCTGGTTATTACGATTGTCATGAAGTACAACAGAAGTACACATGATCCTCTCAGGCGGTACAAATCATGGCATATATGGATATTTAATGGCATTTCTTTTGTTGCACATCAAAGACGATGTAATGGCGCCGGTATCTTTCCTTTCTTTAGTTCTTGGATTTCTATCTAGCAATCTTTCAAAGTTGTGAATTGAGCAATAATGATTGTACTTTCTACAAGGATGAATGATGATTACAAAACATCAAAGGAAATTTTCGACATCTCAACAGAATCTTAAATCAGAATATGAATCAACAATAGAAGTAAGATCAACAACGAAACTTCAGAAAAATTACAACGAGAATACGACCACGTGTTCTGGAAGAGTAGGCGTCTTTTGCTTCATAAAAGTTGGTTACATTGTGATGATTTGCTTTGTTATAGGTAAACGCATTTCCATTCATTTTCACTTTGGATGTAGTTAATGTAGGAAAACAACACAGGCAATGCGGTATAGACACTGACAAATAGATATGCCTCATTCACATGTCTTATAAGGCTGCTTAAGAAGAAGGTGTTCGGAAATGAAAAACCCACATTATAGTGTGGCCATAGTGGAATATCATGGCCTGACCTCGGTAATACGGCATCCCGACCATATACTGCTAGAGGGCTAACAACTCTTTGTGTGTCATATTAAAAGCTCAATGAGAGACCGGAAGCACAAAATATATTTCCATGACTTTGGTACGGCGAGGCTCAAGAATAAATCCTGTTTCTTTTTGGAGGGCGGACGTGGAGTTCAGGTAGTGCCATGGAATATATGTGGCGAAAAGAAAAAATATAAAGAACCATAGTTATATCTCCTCAAATGCAGTGAAGGGGACAATTATAATTCTAACGGTATATCTGTAGGGAAATATTCAGCTATATATAAGCTAACTGCGATAACTGTACGATATAAGATATACTATTAAAAATAGGTATATATTTAACATTTTCTCTCATGCAGTATATGCGGTAGTTACTTCGTTCATAATTTATCAAGCCTGAATTGGACTGCCAGGAAGAGAATGGTATTCCTGTATCAAATTGACGTTTATTTACCACAATGAAATTGTGTTAAGTGTGAACTCTGCTCAAAGATCTGTTTTCACTACGTACCACTATTTGTTAGGTACGTGAACTAATCATATTTCTTCTGAAATTGATATTGGTGTACAGGGGGAGTGGGAAGGGGTGGAGTTGCTATGGTAATGGGAATCATTATCTGTCAAAGTATCTAATTGGACACGGTAATAAGATAAACACTTAAGTATCTTTACTAATGAAATTTGGGCTGTGCATTTCACAAGTGATCATTAAGCTGAAGTTTTTCTGAAGGAGACCGACCAACATAAGAAAAATCGATTCAATTTTAAACTTGACATCCTTACCCACCTCAGATTCAATAATGCCCCATAGACGCTTTCTTAATATGAAGGAAAACGTCGGAGACAAATTCCATCAGTGAAACACATTGAAGTAGTCAATGGCATAAAAAGTAGGAGACAGGGTGCAAACATACATTTTAGTGTTAAGTTAACACACCAATATCTTGCTACTCATAATTTTAAGTCCTTAGAAATAAGATAAAAAGGTAATTTATTGAGCAGAAAGGCAGAAGTATACGATAGATATGGTTGGGAGATGATGCCACTAAGTACACCAACATCACTTGATAAATACGGTTGCATATAAGTGTTTATTACCCTTCCATACAAGCGTCCGGCTAACTATGTCCGATATTTGAACCTATCTGTACCGAAAGACCTTACAGCAATATAATGAAACGCTTGGATGATAAAGATGATGATTTATGTTTGAAACTGAAGACACGTGACTCTTTGGAGGCTATGACACATAACTATCAAAGTGATCGGATATGTTTATGGCACTTCGTCGATCCTTTATTGGTCTCAAAGCACTACGCAGGTGCAGATCGAGACAAATTTTATATCTGATATTGTAGACAATTTATCATAGTGATTCTTAGTAATTACTCTGTAGATGTAATATCGTTCATTTCTTTAAGTAGCAATTTATCACCAGTGATTACGTGATGGCGATTCCTAGGAACCCAATTTAAAGCTAAAGGTCTGAATGTAATGGACTGGTACTATCACAAATCGTTTTAATTGCATTAAACTGACATTTTAATATTCGTCTTCGGATAAAGTATTCACCAATGACCCTAATGAACACCAACAAAGAAAGGACGTCAAGATATCTCAAATTTGGCACATATATCAAAGCAGCTAAGATATCATTTGCACTCTGACAACTGATTTGAATATTTATGAAAGTTTGAATTTCTTTGAGACGTGAATTTATGTGTTACGTAATAGTGCAGCACTTAATGAAGTCTTGACTGAGTCGTAACTTGATATATCAATAAATCTTGCTGTCACTTGAGAAAAAAGATATGTTAAAATGCATAGCAATTTATTCAGCAAGTAGGTCATTATGTAGAGAGCATGTTTGTAAGTAAAATGGGAAAGCTGGCACAGCTGTTTTGTGAATATTTCAATATTTGAAATACTTAGTACTATGGGTGAATTTGCAGTTAACTGAAATATATGAGACACCAACACAAGAAGAAATGCATGACTACTTTCAACATTACTGGTGTGTGTAGGGGGTGGGGGGGGGCGGGGGGGGTGTCAATCATGATATCAATATAACCAATCATACACGTGACAAAAACCGAAGGAATGATTGTTTTTCTGGAGAGGCACCTTGCTCGTCTAAATAGATAGTCTTCAATACCATTCCGCCTTGGTGTTTCATATCATTAAACTACTTATTTTGAAACTTAATATTTGGAATCGACACAATTACACCTTCATCTTAACTAAAATACAGTTTCTGTATCTATTGAAAGAGTAAAGAAGGATTTGATTGTTTTGTCAAGATGTATCCTGCTTATCAACCTTACCCACACAAACGATATCTCCGCTCGTGGCTGCCAGTCAGTCTATGGGTCGGTACCAAAGCCAATTAGGGCTTATTACTGCCGATAAGCATGGATGGCACGTGCTACAAACGAACTCCCTGGTGGTGTTGCTGTACAATGTTAGTATCTTATGGTAGACATTATTCTCGTAAATCCTTTGTTTACAATCTGTTACTGTTTCATGTTGAATGACACAGTTGTAATTGTTGACTTATCGTAAAGATAAACATATTTAGAAACAATTAAGCTTGTTTAGAAAATAAAGCAATATGCTTGTCTTCATACAATCAACGATACATCCCTTATACACTTACTAGATTCATGTCAGTGAATTCACTTGAGTACTCCTTAACATCTGATAATGATAATTCAAAGTGGATGATATAATTTTATGGGATCAAGTGGCTGTCAAAAACAAGGACCGGAGAAGTATTATTATCAAGTAATTCCTGACCGTAAAACAATAATACACCTATCCAAGTAGAAAAAAGGTAATCAAATGTTTCTGCAACATAACATTGTTAGATCATAACCACAAATTCTTGTTCGAAAGGATATAAATGCACAGCACGTATTACATAATTATTGTCATTGCTCGAGGTCAATATACATATTTATGAACCAGTGATTATGATATTAACCGCTATTATTCCTTATTTTACATAATAAACTATGATTCATTTTTGGTTTTGAGATTACATAAATAAAGAACCGTTAGCACCAGTCTGTCGATCCCTGATATGCATCATGATGATGCCAGAGTAGATAAACAAGTATCCGACATCCTATACATATGTATAAAATTGTATTTCACGTTTGCCTGTAGTTGCTGGAAAGAGTGCCTCTAATTATAAGTGTTGATTTACAGGCACAGCATGATAAAGCCACCTGGATGTGAACAAATCGAAAATTTAAGAGAGAGGAATCTACTTCATTTCATAAATTTCGCGTTTCATGATTGTTATTTATGAAATTTAAGTCGCATATTGACCACCTGTTTGACTGTTAATAAATTTATATGTGTACTTTTTCCTGATCATAGCATGTTTGTAATGATTAGTAGGTCGGACATTGGTTACTCGCAGATATATGATAATGTCAACAATTTTGATACGTAAATATACTGTCATTGTATGAAAACAATGGTGGGTAATATTTCGGATAGGCCTTGGAAATATTACATTTATACAATTTCTTTGAATGTTTATGATCGAACCAAACATTCTTCCTTTCCTCAACAAAAGACAACACACGCACCATCTAAACATTACAAATATTGTTGAAAGAAAGGTTATGAACGCACTACTGCAAATTATCCTTTTGAAGTGCGTGGCAGGCAAATCCAGAGCGAGTTTTAACAAATACCAAGGGGGCCTTTTGAACAATCAAATGCATTTCACCGTCTTTTATCAAAAGCAAAACTACTTGAAGGACAAACTTCAACTATGAAGATGTTTTCATTCATAAAAAAAAATACATTTTATTGTCTTTGCGTCTCCTCCCTTTTATAACAATGTTGATGTCAAGTGCACATGTTGTAACGGTGTTGATAAAGTGGCACCATGCTATCTTATTAAAAAGTCGGTTTGTAAGAATCATATACGATTACAGAATGTGCTTATAGACACTCATTTGTTAGTAACGTTCTAGTATTCCATGCCACTTCATTCGGAAACATTTAAATTGATTTTGGGTTTTTTTTTAAAAGAATACATTTGAAGATTTTTTTAATGAACCATCAGTCCTTTTTAAAAAAAAAAACAGAGTCCATTATTAAGGGATCCAATTAACCCGAACCTTCCACGATATAACGTCTACCGAAAATATGTGACAGTATAATGGAGTTTACCACAAAATGTCAATATTGGTACATATATTTATCGATAGAAAATATGATGAGTTTAAGGATGACTGGTTTTCATATGTGTGGTAACAAAGATTCCTCCCCATGCCCCACTGGTTCCAACATGGGGAACTTCCTGTTTAACATCTGTTTTCACTTACGGTTTCCTGTAGATAGATTTTTATTGAATTCGTAGATTCTATTTCTCAACAATCTTAACGATTTCATACTATTATGAAAACTTGATACCTAGCAGATATTTCAATAACATGTTTTGTCTTTGTAGGCGTGGTTGACTCAGAGACCATCCGAATGATGAAGATGCCAAGATGTGGAAACTCGGACCAAATGGGTTACTCGGACAAGGCAAGAAAGAAACGATATGCTTTACATGGTGAGTAGTTTACATGTACCCTTTGAAAAAAATGATAAATTTAAAATGAATGAAAACATGACCGCCAAAATTAACAAAGTTGAATCGGAAAACGAACTGAAGAAGAACATGCGAGAGTTTTGATTACTTTTATACCACAACTTGCATTGATGTCAGTTGTTGTGACCATTTTTAAGTAAGTATCCAATGCATGTTTTCTCTAGAAAGGACAATTGAATTAAAACTTGTTTAATTGACGTTATGAACAACAAAATTCACATTTACAATTCTATGTCTTAAGCTAGAAACAGGATAATGACCTGGTAGATGGCCTATGAGCTACACTGTATACATCACTAAAATAGCAGTTTTCTTCTAGCCAGGAGATTGATGATACAATCCTAGTGGTATCACGATTAACGTTCCACACAGTATACAATAGCTAGGCAGAATGTTCATTGTCTGTGTCTATTTGCAGGGAGCAAGTGGTCAAAACATGATATCACATATACGATATCACAATACAGCAAAAAGATTTCTAAACAAGACGTGGACTCAGAGATCAGGAGAGCGTTCGATGTAAGTCACAGGTGTCCGGTAATTGAGACACTTCCGGTGATAAGACCTGTCAGATACGAGTTTTTTGGGGATATGTCATACAGATATATTTTTTCACATAGACGGTAGCATGAAATAATGGAATGTGTTAAATGATTTTGTTGACTTTTATATACATTATACGTGTTTGTTGTAGCAAACGAAATATTTGTGATATTCATAGCTACGATGCTCATGCCTACAATACAAATTAAAGTATTGAAATGACAACAGAAATTCGATTATACCATTATTCTGCAAACTAATGAAAAAATCTGATTTAACGAATTGTGTCTAATTAGTGTTTTATTTCAAATAGATGCTTAAGATAATAAGTGAGAAACATGCTTATGAGTCTATGACGTCTCATCTGTCCTTAACCCATACTGAAATATGCATCAATATTATTTTTTTAATTTGTTTTTTAGGCATGGGAAGGTGTAACGCCTTTGACCTTTACCTGGAAGAAATCAGGAAATGTTGATATTGATATCAAATTTGCCCGTTCATGGCATGGGGATAATAACCCATTCGACGGGAAAGGACAGACATTAGCACATGCCTTCTTTCCCCAATATGGTGGGGACGCCCATTTCGATGAGGATGAACCTTGGACAATCAATGTTTCAGATGGTATGTAAATTCACACTCGTGCCTGTGACACATGAGATAAATTCATGTGATGTTACATACAATAGTACATCTCGATGTAATGTGAATTACAATAAAAGAAGACCAACACAGAAGCATACCTTAGTTTCATATCTGACTGTCTGCTAATGGTTATTTCTGTAGATCTTGAAAAAAAGTCTTAACAGTGATTTTACAATTTTTCATATATATTATATTTACTATTTATTGAGGACAATGATAGTCACTGAAAACATGACAACAAAACGAAAGTGTATCACAATAGATAAGAAAACTATGGTTTAATATATTTCAGGGGTCAATTTCTTTCAAGTTGCCGTCCATGAAATTGGCCATTCCTTGGGTCTTGCCCACTCTGATGTGTATTCAGCCTTAATGGCCCCATTTTATAAAGGTTACCAGAAGCATTTTCGCCTCGGAACTGACGATATCGAAGCTGCACAGGCTTTATACGGTAGGTCTATGTCTGACATTTCTACTACTCGGACCAGAATGTAAATCATGTAGGACTTCATATAGGATTTCCATTTCAGAACTGATTCATGAAAACATAATGAAAAAATAAGACGACGAGAAATGGTTTCTATTTTTTTCGTATAAGTCATTAAAATCTTTTGGGAGCTAATCTCTTATCTGTTAAAGTTAAATTTAATTTACGAAATTGTGCTTATAACCAACAAGCTGGTACAGAGTCCTTAAGTTGATTATATTTATAGATTTGTACTTAAGATTTTCTCGAAATACAATACTACTAAAACATGACATGAAGTTATTACCTCAACAAACGTTTTATGAGGTATTGGGAAAGTCAATGACGTCAGTTCGGATCAATTGTTTATTGCAAATAGCACAACACATGGGTGTTCTTGGCAATTTTGTAAACATCTTGTGTGTGAGGAAAGAGGAAAGCCGAAACATAAAACCAGAGCATATTTGGCCATTCTTGGAAATATGTTTTCAGTCTTTATTTCCTTGGATTAAATAGCCTTGGTTATGTGGTAATAACTAATTAAAACTCATCTGTTTTTTACATACCAGTTAATGTTTTATTAAACAGCGAGAAAATACCGATATGTCATTGAATTCTTATTTCTAAATCAAACCCTAAATCGACAAATTGAAGACAAAATATATGCAAACAAAGACTGACACAGAGACGCTCGAGAAAGTACATGAATTAGATCATAGCTCCGGAAGTGTAAGCGTCTTGTGTTTCAATAGTGACATCCACACACAAGCTTTGTTTAACAATTATAATACGAATTACTATCAGGAAAGAAAACCAATAAAAAGATAAACACATTGAATGATGTAGAACTTTATCTTACTCTTTCAGGTACACCAAACAGCCGACCTAACCCTACTCAGCGACCTCCGACCCGTCGTCCGTATACTCCCGCACCGACTATCCGTCCGACCCGTCGGAGACCCCCCGTTACTACAAGGGCCCCTGTGTATAACATTCCGGAAATCTGCCGAAATCCAACGATAGACGCCATCACACGTACAAAAGATGGTTCTACATATGTTTTCAAAGGTAGACTTTTCACAGAAAATAAAATATTTCCATTTAAAGTCACATACGGATATATATTTGGCATCGTTAATTGAAGTTATTTTCATATATATGTCTTTATGTCACAAACTTTTCTTCAATGAGTTATTTTATTAGTCTGTATTGTTGTAACAAATAATCTATAAGTCATAATTCAAAAAATGCATATGAACTCTTTATCAAATTACGATTCGGAAAAATGACATGTTTGGATATTCTCAGTTTTTATTAATGAAAACTGAATTCTAAACATTTTTGTAATTCTAACGTAGTATATCTCTATTGTTAGGAACTTATCATTATCGACTGAACAAGCTCGGCATAGAAAAAGGATATCCAAGGAAAATATCAACCGATTGGAAAGGTGTTTCCGGTCCCGTCGATGCTGCTTTAACATGGGAAAATGGATATACTTATATCTTCAAGGTATTTTTCAAGGAAAAATTAATTTTGTTTCATCTCAATAATGTTTTAAGATAAAAATAAACATGGTGTCTCAACTGGTATCTTCTACATGAAATGTTTAATAACATTAGTCATAACGAAGAGAACACATGGTAGCATGATCTGTTTTGTTGTGTTTTTCCTCATTGAACATGTTGACACTAATTCAAATGCTGGTGCATTTGAGCTTTTTCCTATTATTTTATTTTTCTGATTTGATCTAAAAAATACTTTTCTGTTTATTTCCAACAGGGAAAATATTACTGGAAATTCGAAAATAGACGACTTATTTATGGGCCCAAGAGAATCGTTTTTGGATTTAGAGGTGTTCCAAATAATCTGGATGCAGCTATGGTGTGGGGTGGTAACGGAAAAACATACTTCTTCAAAGGTAAACATTCAATTGAACTACATAACATATAATCTTTGTTACCTGTTTCCAAGGTTTTAGTTTTATTCTTAATTCATATACTTTAAACTCATAGATTTTCTAGGGGCCCAATTTTCGCTGATATTGTAAAATCACAAATTTCAATAAGACGCGTAATTTGAATTCTTGGATTAAGAGCTCCTACATAATTGACGATAATAAAGCCGATGAAAATGGATGATTTTACGATTTGCGATGTATATTTCCAACACAATAGAGCCTAAGCATGCATATAGGATATGGGAAAATGAAGATGCACATGACTGCATTCACAATGCAATAGAAACGTGCATTGTTTTGAAATGTTGTTTAATAGGAACAAGTGTCAACAAAACATAGTTATATGATGTGAGTTATTTGTTTAAATGTAGATAACAAAATGTTATATTACCGAGACAAATGTGACATTTGTTATTTTCTGCAAAAACTGCAAAAACATTATACTCCTAGAATATATCAGGTATGTAGTAAATATCTTAGCGATGAAACATACTAAACAGTTGGAGTGATAAAACATTTATAAGGCATTGGGAGTCCCATCGGATTCATCAATCATACTCATAATTAACAGTTCATTTTCAAACGAAATGACAGTAACGGTATCAGATGCGACATATAAATAAATGATAATTTCGCAAATATCTGATATGTTCGAACTTACCATAATTAGTCAACGTCCTAATAAACTAATCGATTTAGCACCAAATAGTCTAACATTGGTCTAATTATTCTAATTGATAATTTATAGCATTTTCTTCACAACTATATCTGTGACTATAAAGCGTGAAGTACCACATTAAAGGTATGACATATTTCAACCATGACTCATATTATCAAGGTTCAAGGTTTCCTATGTGAGGAAAATGGCTACTTGCTTTACTAAAGTGTATTTTGGTCAACGAGACAAAACCAACGAGGTTTAATTAAGAGCATAACAAATGAGTTAGACTTTTGATTCATAGAAATTTTTCATATTTCAAATCTTCATATCAAAGAAAAATGTCTACCATATCTAATTCTAACCTTGCTACGATGGAGATAAATCAATATATAAATGCAAAATAGATAGAAATATAAAACAGTTATAAAAATTATATATGAATTGTAATTTGAAAGAAACTCGGTGCGTTAAATACAAATGTGGTAAATAACTGTGCTAAATGTATTTTTTCTGTTTTTCTCAGGAGACCAATACTGGAGGTATTCTGGGAGAAAAATTGATTATGGGTATCCCCGTGCCATCGTTAAATGGCGAGGACTTCCTAGTAAAATACAAGGAGCATTTAAATGGGAAAATGGCAAAACTTATTTTTTCACCGGAAAAAATTACTATCGGTACAACGATCAACTGTTTGCGGTAAGTTTTTATAGACATAATGTTAAATTATATTGATGACAATTAGAATAAGTATATATAAAGTTCCAAAAAAACCCGTTTTTTACGCTGTTAAATGAAATGTTTCCGCCTTGGTCTATTTAGTGTCGTATTTTGTTAATAAACGATTTCATCAACGGGTATTTTTTTCATAAAATTGATAAAATGGACCTGAGTGATATATATCAACTATATCTTTATTTGTGGTATTTCCAAAGTATTCCCAACTTACCATAGGCATCACTTGAAAATGACAGCTATTGCAAGTATAATATATCTAAAACAGGAGTGTGTGATTGCCTTATAAATGCCATATAAATCGTTTTGGTGGTTTAGTCACAATGCACAGCGCAAATTAGATATATAATGTTTAAGAGCTGGATATCAACTACACAGAAATACCAGGTGTGGGTCATATAGACTTTGCACTAGTCTGTCATCTAATTTCCCTCAGCATCGTTTAAACACATGATAAAGAGTCCCACAACATAGGAAATGCCGATTATCTTTGTCTCATACATCAATAACCACATGCAGTGGAGATAACGTAGGATTACATAGGTGAACCAGAATGAGTAATGGGACTTTCCTGTTTTAACCAAAAGTGTCGATAAATGGGGATTCATTATCTTGTACATGTAGTTGATGCACAATCATGGGTCTTCACATGTGGTTCTGGTTATAGGTAAAATTTAGGAAATTAAGGACGGACGTTCTTATCACATCAGCAGGAAAACCACATCATTGCTTAGTGGTTTAAATATGAATACCATTTTTGTTAAACTTGTGAGTCAGAGAGAGTATACTGATTAAAATGACTAACCTGACTTATATTTTGAAAAAGGGAAGTGGAATATGTTTTATCGGGATGTGTGCTAGCCAGTTAGAACGTATAATTTGAATAACATGTGAAAAAACTTTTGCTCGCGCACTTAGTCATCCTTTAGAAAACGTGTGATAAATGACATTTGCACTATTGGATACGGACCATACTATTTAGTATATACATGTATTGTTGTTCACCATTCAAATGAAACCAATTGGAATTTTTTACAAAAAAAACTAATCTGTACTATCTACCTTATTTAAGATGATTCTTGTTTCGGAAGTCTTATGCATTTAGCTTAATAGTTAATTTTTATTTCGATAAAATTATATGTTGTTCAGTTATAAATCTTGTCACTAGCTCAGTTTTATTGGAAGTGTCTTCGTTTAATATATTTCTATCTGTTAAAAATGGGCCTGCAGAGCTATATGTAATATTATACAAATGCCACACATGTTGATAACACGACTTCACACAAATATTAAACATTATATCACTTCAGACAAGATGTATTCTTCCTGTCGCAAAATTAAAATACAAGAAAGCCTTATTTTACATCCGGCTGTTAAGTTAGAGGAAACCAAACAATGATTATTCATTGCTTACATTGCTATGGTCAGGTTACACGACTGTGGTTTCAAGGCTATTACGACTGTTTACTCGAGAGTATGCTAGGGCACGAATATGACGTCAGTGTGAATTGTTAACAGAGTTATCGTACCTTTTATTAACTATTAACTGATACTATGTAGCTTAACATCTTTCAACCGTATGATACAATTATTTATTTGTTGAATTTCCTCTATATCTTGATTTATACAACAAAATATGAATAAAGAAATGTTATTTAATGGAGTATTTCATTTCCGGTATCGAATAAAGTCTCTTCAAGGTAGTGGTACAAAGACGTAGTCAAAACTATTTGTTTGGGTGTAAATTTTATTCAAAATTCAAAGTCATGTGTTTATTGATTCATTAACAAAAGATTGGCATAGAAATAAATTCGGTTGTAATTTTGTTTCAAATTGATAATTTTCGTTTGCCAGGTTGATGCCACATATCCACGACCCATCGCCACCTGGTGGTTAGGATGTCCACAACAAGGAAAAATAACTGACGTTAAAAACCCATACAGTCAAGATCAAAGCTTTCAATCCGAAAATGACAACAAGGATGAACAATGGATCACAATAAAAAGTGAGGACGACATCTTGGATCCAAATAGCGTTGGTAATACTTCAGGCCAAAACTCTGCAAGTTCAAATAATATAAAACCATTAAGTATATTAACAGTCATATTGGTGACAATATTAAACTTGCTGTTATGAAATTTTTTTTTTTAAAAAATCGACAATTATTTACCTCACGTTGGCAATCACAATGACCTCTATGATTTGAGGTCGTGACCAGGTCGTCTCCATGACCGAGCATGCCCCATGTGCGCGATCATCCCAAGGTTGGTGGGGCTAAAATAGCCCAGAATTAATTCGCGGGAGAGAGAACAATCGGTGAAGAAGACGAAATGTATAGAATGGATCCTATCAAATACAAGTCTATGCTGACAACTCGTCTCTTCAAGCACTCCACAGGGGTTTACTACTATACTTGCATGTGTTGCTGCAGGTTCTAAAAGGGTAATAGATCAAGTCTCTGCCAATTCAAGGGATTGATGAATGATGGGATGCAGGCCGTCTCAACTAAATGAAACATGGCTGGAGAGCCGTTCTGCATATTCATCGACAGGGTTATTAATCCTAAAGAAAGCAGAACAACGAATGTGAGGACATGCATCAGTGTGCCATAATACTTTCCTCTTACGAGAAGTGTCAATATATATATATAAATGTATTGTTTCTGAATGTGGTTTTAAACACTTTTTCTGTCAATCATTTGAATTAATACATTGTGAAACAAGTCATGGTGTAAATGAATCGAAACATATTATTAAAGTTGTCGACAAGGTATTTATTTTAAACCATATTAAGAATTTGTTGAATACCCAAGCTCTCATTATAACAAACCAGATGAATGTATGTTGATATATGGGTTAATCGTACTTTCATATTGAAAGTAGGCATTTTTCTGTAAGATCATTATCATTATCAATCGTTAGAGAGGAAAAACCTCTGTTAAAACCTATATTGACAAGAGTACTATGAGTAAAACTGCGTGTAATACAAAATTATAAAATTCTTCATTTTTTCACGGCAGTAAATTCAAACATAAATGTAAATACTTTTTCACGATAATATATTTGTTGAATTCATCTTAAAAATAGAATTCCAGTATAGATACACTTCATTATCATCTTTGTACCCTTATTTCGTCTTAGTATATTTCAATATAAATTAAACAACAAATATGTTATCTATATGTAAAATGAAAATACATAATCAACTGTATAATTGAGTGATTGTCAGCATGAATTCATATATCTTAATTTTGTTCTTTTGCTATTTGTAACAGCTTATCTTTATTTTAACTAAGAAGAAATATCATTATGAAAAAACATCCCCCATCTTAAAACCGTTCAACTAGGTTTTGAAATATATCTTGTTGAATCGAAATAATTTTAATTTAAAATGACAATTGCAGTATTACTGCAGCATTAATGAAACTGACTATAATTGTATGATGGAGTGCATTTAATGAATATTGATGAGTCTATGAAAGACAATTCATAATTAGTTGTAATTTAGAAAGTCGTGGGTAAATGTGACTCAGATGAACACTTAAAGTGTATGTGTGCTCTTGATTTGTTGAAATGTGTACTTTTTATTTTAAAAAATGTGGCTGAACAATGGACGAAATAAAATCTGTACAAGTTTACCTGATAGTGCGTACGATATCCTGATCGTTTTAAAACTTTAAGTTTTTAAAACCAGTAACAGGTGTTTTCGACACCAGTTTGGAAATACGCTCGCTTTCCACATATAAGCCCGGTTGAAATTAAACAAATCTACATAGCCTATTATTTCATGGAGACACCCCTTTATTTGGACTCCGGAAACATTGATAGTATTATTGTTAAAAGTTTAATTGTCAGATACAGAGTGTGAGAAATAAAGACTGCGAGAGAAGCTGATGCGTTGAAAATGTTTGTTGTTGACAAGAAAGAAAAAGTGTGAAATAGAATTAATAAAGTATGAATCGGAATGAAAGAATGGGTATGTCAAATCAAACATTGGAAATCAAAAGAAAAGAACAAAGAGCTGTTTACTATCAGATAAACAATACTGAATACTTGAAGAAGAAAAAGAAAAAATTGTCTTGATACCAGGTTCTGTAATCAATGTTATGATTATGTTTGTTGTGACATTTTGTGAAACTTTGACTAGAATTTGATGTTAAATAGCACCAACGCTAGTGTCTATTGGTTGTGCATGAGAGATATTTAAGAAAAGAATGAAATATACATTCCAGTTTCATATAATGTTTGTAACATATCCTTATCTCAAACATCATCTATTGCTTTGACTATAGGAAACGTCAATGTCAGCCGACTTCTTAACATGTATTTTAAAACCATTTTTAAAAATTGTATGTATTATATTCTTCATCAGATCTTTAGTTTTCTGCTTGAAATAAATTCATTGAAAAGATTGTTATGTTTAACATGCATTCAAAATTTTATTCTCGGGTTCGTGAGAACTAACACTTAAAACAACATATGTGAATACGTGTATAATATCAGTTGAAATAATAATTAATAGAGTTCAGTGATTTTAATTGAAGGCTAGTTGACAACACAATAAAGACATGAAGGGTTTGTTATTTTTAAAATGAATTGAAACAGATAGTCACGACAACTAACTTTTTCATACTGTACGTACTTTTAGCGAAGTTTTGTATTATTCATATCTAAATTGGGGAAAAGACCTTATTTCTATGCTTGTTTTATAAGATGAGCCATTTGAATTCATATATACATAGGCGAAGGTAACTAAATGTCAAATCAATAATATATATACAACACGTGCTGCAACTATGAAATTATTTCAGGCAGATTATTACGTAGTCACAGATTACTAGTGCATAATGCAGTTCAATCATTGATTGTTAATCAATGCATAATGTTTGTGTTTTATTATGTTTTGATTTTTGAATGACAGTTGAAATAAAGAATGATATGGTTGTAAAACAATTCAAAAGAAAAATAAATATTAAGTGAGAAAGCGAGTGAAACTGTGTTTTCTTATATATAAATAATATTGTTTGTGAATAAGTAAATAAACATTGTCAGTGTGCAGGCGCGCTGCCAGTTTTTTTGTACATTTTATAATAAAACTCTTACATAAACTAACCTATGAGTTAGCGTTGTAAACTGCTCGTTTTCAGATTGAATGAAGTTTATATTTTAATTTCTACTTTAACCATAAAACATTTTTGTATTAAACACTATTTTATAATCAGGATATGGATATCTTTTGATCGACAGTAACATAACATCGATGACATAACATGAACAGTTGTTTATTCCTGACACTAGCTGACGTAAGATCCCCAAATGCCCCTTATTTGATTTTTCTTCCAGACATGCACATATAACATATTCCAGACGTTGCTAATCGATATTTTCAAAAGGTCTTCTCCGTGGCGCACACATAATAGTATTCAATACAATTGCTCAAACATACTCTTTATAGGTCCACTATAAACTGCCCTTCATTCAGTGTTAGTAAATCCTCTGCATACGAAATTATAAAAACATGTATATTATGTCTGTTACGTGTATCTGTTTTATGCACAATTACAAATTCCTTGAATATTTGTTTATACTTCATATAGCTAAGCTTTGGATAGCTCTGTTATGATGTGGGGACAATACTTTACGCCAGGATAAGATATCACATAAGGCCAGTACAATGTGTCAATGTTAAAAGAAAATAGCTGACAATTGACAAAACGTCTGCAAAAATTGATTCAATCTATTTCTATATTTAGATCCGTGGCGAAATTTAATAATGTGTAACGAGAGATGTAGTAGTCGGAGCATGATGGCAGATTACGTTTAAACGTTTATCAAACAATTGGTAGAATTATCAAATATCTTGCTAAATTTCAAATACAGTGCGGTATTTAGACAAAAGAATGAATATCACAAGATTATCTTGCTTGTCGAGAATCCATGAATTTCTTTAGTTATAGCATGGTCCTTACATACAGGCTAGCAGTTTCAAATGTATTCGGGCGCGCAGACAAAAATCATCCTATCTATATGATTGTGTATGACAGGCAAGGAATTTACACTTCTTCCTAGGTGGTTTTATTCACTTAGTGTGGATGGCAGAATCGTTTACACAATGCTTTGCTATAATGAATTTGAATTGGCGAATTTTATGCATGACATGTGCTGATAAGATGTATGTTTCCTCAAATTTCGTGACGAGGAAGGGTATATCAAGCACCTACGATAAGAAGACAGATACCAGGTGTGGAAGTAAAAAACTTTTTGACAGCAGAGGTCTCATATTTATGAAAATACAAAACCGATGTATTGTCTTCTAAACGATTATTTTTTTACAACTCTTCAAAAGACACACAAAAAATTGGTGATAGCATTTAATTGTGCTTTGGTTGAAAGTCTTGATTCAATATGCTTGCGTGGTAATGCAGTCGTTACCGAAGCAGCTGTGTGAAACTTATTCTAGACACATTTAATTGTGATTGTTCAGCGAAATGCATTTACTGTTTTTAATACAGCCTCGGATGCTGCCAGAAATCAGGTGATCATTGAAAAATCTTTAACAAATGTTAACATACTATAAAAAATTGAATATACAACATTATCGCCGTCATAGACCACAGATAATTCTGCATGTCTTTGTACTGTATAATGAATAATGCTTGGTGGAGTTTCTGTAGGACCATCGACATTTAATCCATTGCACGGCCTGACATCTCGATGTTTCTGCAGATCGTTTTTTAGAGACACATATTGAATTAGAGAATGGGAATTTTTTCACTTATGACAATGGTAAAGTTTTCTACTTCAGACAATAGGAATTTTTCTACATTGTTTTCGTAACGATCATGTTGAGAAAGGTTCGTGTGCGATACTGAATTCGATCTATTTAATGATCGATAGTATACATGGTAGTTTCGTTATTGTTTACAAGAAGTTGTCAACTGAAGGCCAAACTCGTACCACCAGATCTTAAAAGATGCAGGCTGACAAAAAAAATATGGGGAAGTTTTATCATCACCATAGTGATCTGATTCCGATTTTTTCTATTTCATTTTGTGATATGAAGCTTTGCGTGTTTCATGCTCTTAAGTTTGATTGTTGGTTCCGTTGTTGTATACCTTGTTCTCATTTGAGAATATAACCCTGCTTTCTTAGCATTACATGACAGGTTTCATCAGTGAAGAATAACGCTTACTTTTCCGGAACACCTGGTCTTATTCTCTCGTTGTATTTTTTCAGATGTTAGGTTATGATTATGTTGACATGTTGGGTTTTTCTTCTCATTATTATTATTTAAAAAAAAGTTACGTTGTTGCCTAAAGTAGAATTAACAGACAATGTCCCTGGTGTTATTCACTTTGTACTTTTCGGAGGTGTTTCAGAGATAAGTCATTGGTTGGTGAATAGGTTGCACTTATTTCATCGTTTTTTTAGTATTGTATATTTCTTGTCGATTCTGTATTTACGGGACTATTCAATGAGGAATCAAATCTTCTCATCTCGGGCGTTTTATTTCATTCTTCTAAATATAAACTCTAAAACAAATTGTTATATTTGCGATATATTTTCAAATGAATACATGTATATCTAATGCGTTTCCATAGGTTATATACATAGAAATAAACCTGCTTCTTTGTCTCATTGGTAACCGAAGTTGGCAATTAATTTGATATTTCTCTCTTATCCACAAGCTATAGCGCTCTGCCCACACTTTTAACATCAGATTTCTAAGGCTATAGCGTTTTCACACTTGGATGATCATGTCATTTTGTTACATAGACAAACATATATTACTTTAAGATATCTGTCTGAAAAGGCTTAATCATGATTAAAAACTAGCCTTAAAAACTACAATACCTTAAACTTCCACCACACCTTCAAAAATACGTAATATTTGTACAACATCAATAAATGGTTAGGTAGTGGGTGTATACCTGAAGTGTTTAAAGCAAGGCAGTCCGCTTCCACGAAGCCCATCCTTAAATATGATATGCATATTGATTTGAGCACGCTACAAAAGTATTTCGACACACCTGGTTACATTTCTATAGGAAAAACAATTTTGTTTGTAGCTAATCTTTAAAGTATTTACCTTGATTTTTAATATTTACACATTGTGATTGTAAAGAAAGTATTCAAACTATTCCTTAATGTACTAATTTTACCTCAAGCAAATCCTCCTCCTCTCTCTCTCTCTGTCTCTCTGTCTCCCCCCTCTCTCCCCCCATCCCTTTCTCTCTCTCTCTGTCTGTCTCTCTCTCTCTCTCTCTCTCTCTCTCTCTCTCTCTCTCTCTCTCTCTCTCTCTCTCTCTTTCTCTCCCTCTCTCTCTCTCTCTCTCTCTCTCTCTCTCTCTCTCTCTCTCTCTCTCTCTCTCTCTCTCTCTCTCTCTCTCTCTCTCTCTCTCTCTCTCTCTCTCTCTCTCTCTCTCTCTCTCTCTCTCTCTCCGTGGGGTCTATTCATAAAGCATTTTTCGTCATTTCAATTTCAATCACCTTGTTGTTTAAATCCTGTATGACGCATAATTTCGACTCATCGCAGACCATGGTGGTCTAAGGGAGATAACTTTATTTTACCTCACCAACCTATTTTGTTGACACAAGTTTAGCATATAATACATTTATGTCAAATTTTCACTATCTGCACATATATCCACAAGAATAAATTGACTTCAATTGTTATGATTTCGATCTACATATGTAACATTCAAGATTGCACAAAATACACGCAAGTTTAATACAGATTTAATATTAAAAAACATAAAAATTCCACTCGTCTTGAACACACCATCAAGTGGAGGTTCTCAACGCAAATGTTATAATATCTCAATTTAAATTAATGTATAATATTGCCACTGATTCTATTTCCTGTGTATTTTGTATTTTCTTTCATCCTTTTTATATCCTAATCCAACATTGTGATAAAGGAGTACATATATACCAAAAATTTGTTCCATTTTATTGGTATATGTTTCCTTCAGGGAATGAGACACACACGGTATCTGTAAACACTATTACATAAGTAGATTTAGCAGCCATTGTACCACTACATAGAAACGTTATCACATTTAAATACCTGGACTACCTAACACTTAAGCGTTACCACTGTGACATGTATATATTGCTACATATTTGATCCGGTACAACTCCCAGACATTTCGCCGATATTAGAGTCACAGGCATTTAGATAATACATTGTCATGTGACCGTTAGAGGTTAAAAGGTTGTTGTTATGAAATATCAGGGATGTAGATATACTCGTTAATTTCAGGTGAGTATTTTTTTTATATCTATGGTCATATCATCAATTAGGACATTTTTTTATATTGTTTTAATCAAATATAATGACAGATTAACATTACGAACGTCTGAGATGAATCGTTTTATTCATAGTTAATATTTATCAATAGAAGACGTTCATGACCTTGTTTCAGGTTTGAGCAGGATATGAATTATTTGTCGCCTTCATTATCAAGTGCTAATATACTTACTTTTGAGACAGGTTCCAAGCGAACATTTCTCCATTTAAGAGATAAATTTTCACCTGTGATTTCATAAATATATACAAAATCTGGGCTCGCGTGCAATAAATAACTTAATATAGAATAAATGTATATTACAGCATTTCTAATGAACTACCTAACAAATGTAGAACATTATCGTTAAAAATAGAAAAAATAGTTCATGCGTATGAGGAAGCGAATGTATTCCGGTGTTTTCTTCCGTTCATATCTGTTTGCATTTACCTCTAGTTAGATCCACCAATAAATAATATGAAGATATGTTTAAGCTGATTTTCAAACTTGCACCTATCTTTTCTTAATTTTCTGATAAAAAAATGTTAAAACGACAATATTGTCCTCGTATAATGTATGCCGACTTAAACCTGTAATATTTAGAATACTCGAAAATAGGAAACATGCGGTTAAATTGTCTAAAATTTAAAAAAGAGTTTCTTCCCTTCAAAAGCAATGAAAACAACCAACACTGTGACTGATATGTCAAGATGATCATAACCCAAACTCAAGTTCAGTAAAAAAAAATCAGAAAAATACGAAAAAAGAAAGATTTACATGGAGGCTCTTGGAACAGGGCAAAAAGAATAAGACCAAGTGTTCCGGAAGAGTAAGCTTCTATTTCATAACTGCCATGTAATCTTGTTCAAATAAGTAATGTCTCGTTCCAAAGGATAGTAAAGTAAGCGAAATTTAAATGGCACCACAAGGCAGCGTAATGACAGTAGTAAAAATACCAAATACTTTCGACGCCATATCTATAAATAGACTATTTCCAAATGAGATGGAATGAAACTTCTAAGATCGGTAGTTTTTATCATTTTTTCTCACTGCAGCTTAGGATCTCAGAAACGTCTGAAAATGCCAGCCGAAAGTAAACATCGATCACGTGGTCCAGGTCGATGTCTGTCATTTGTAGTGTTTCTGGTCGCTCTGATTGCAATAGCCGGTTTGGCTGTGTCAATTCTGACGTATATCAAACTGATGAATGATGAGGATAAAGATGATGATGTCGCATCGTCTGCAGTGGGATTGGCAAATGGCGAACAAATAATGACGTCATCATCGGCTGCAGTTGGATTGGCAAATGGCGAACAAATAATGACGTCACCATCGGCTGCAGTTGGATTGGCAAATGGCGAACACATAATGACGTCACCATCGTCAGTCATGCCTGTCCCAGATCCAAGAACCGAAGCCGTAGTTGCATGCTACCCAGAAGAGAACTTCAACCAGGCGCAATGCGAAAAGAACGGGTAAAGGAACTTATCATTTGATGACAGTTGACGAGTATTGATACAAATTTGAACAATAAAATATATTCGTCTTTATATGATGTCATGAATAATCTGTTTTATTCTTCAGCGATTTCGAGCAAATTGAAATGTCGTGAGGTAATCGTTTAATCCTTGGTCTAGTGTTAATTGACTTTGTCTATGAAGACAACTGAACAGTTTCATGTCCATGGCATCAAATTTTTGATGAATACTACATCATATGATATATATTAAAGGATTGTGAATTCTTTCGAAGAAATATATTATTATAAATATCAATATGAACCTAATAAGATGTCGTAGTAGATTATGTTTACCAGTAAGTAATGCCATTCAAACAGGCATAGCCTATCTTTTACCTTTATTATTCTAATTGTCATTTTACGTTTTTACAGGTGCAAATGGTTAGGGTCAAATCATCCTCGTGTCCCGTCATGTGTATTTGAAAATAATGCTGGGTATGTAATTGAGACCAACGATACACAAACCGAGACCGAACGCTCAGCCACCCTTAAAAGAGCAGGACTCACTGAAATGTACGGGATGGAGGTTCGGGAGCAGATCAAGGTTACCGTGGAATCGATTGGCGACCACATGCTACGAATATATGTATGTATAATTGTCTTTCGTATTATATTTTCAAAACAGTTTGATTGTACGTATTGTGAGTTTCTTTGTCTTGAGCAAAAGGGAAGGTCTTTTTCTCGGAAGTTAATGAGCAATGGGAAGGGAATTAAGATGCTTGTTATTGAATCTTGTGTAACCTATTTATCTTCTACAGATGACATTTGTTGTCACGATGCATTAACATGATAAATCTCATCTATATACATTGTATACAAGGAAGCAGTCACTTCCGGTTATTTCTGCGTTTTATATTGCTCTTCATTTTCTCCTTGTGTTAAATTCGCCCTTAAAAAACAAAAAAACACAGATTTCCACTTGAACGTCACACTATTGGCAACATGAAAAAGGGGAAGATAAAGTAAGGAAAAAGCTTTCCTGTTTATATTTCTAGACGTAACAGGCATGCATTATAACAAGAACTATTGACTGGTAGGGTGTAGTTAACATCAAGTTTGTTTATAGCTCTGTTGTGTGATATAGAGTAAGATAGGAGAAAAGTCCTGTTCAATTGGTTGGGTAAATATCGATGTTGTCGGGAACCAATGTTTAATTTACACTTAACAAACACATGTGCATAATTTTGTTGTTCAAGAAACGAACAATGATAATCACTGAGGGTGGGGAAGGGGGATTGAAAAAGTATATGTTACAACTTCAATAGCATTGTCGATTAACTCAGCTAAAGTAACAGCGATATGAGGTATGTCCCTAATGATCAGAAGCGAACGTAGTAGGCTTGAACCTGTTTATCAATGTAAAGTATCATCATTCCGACAAAAATCCGAGAAACAAAACAAAAGCAAAGTAAAAGAAATCTTAAATGAAGTGATAAAGTAATCAGTGCAGAAATTAAAATCGTGATCATGATGTTGATTTCATCTTTTATGCTATATATAGTCACTTTAGATATACTATATGCTGTTTCTTTTTTTAATCATTCTTTTTCTATCATTATTAAAATGGGGGGAACATACGATAAGAATACAGGAATAAAATCGCACGCTTCCCCATTTAACAGAAAAGTAACATCCGTATGCATTGCATAGACAAGTTTGGGAATTTTTTAACCACTTTTCTACATTCTTGTTACAGTTCGCCGCGAATGATTCTTGGGAGATACCCAGTGAAGCTCTTCCTATGAAACGGCCAACCGGTACCAGTACAAACAAACAATATGACGTCAAGTTTGTGACGTCACCAATCTTCGGAGTTGTGGTGACTCGTAAATCCACTGGTGCTGTTGTGTACGTAAACAATACTTTAAAACTTGTTTTAATGATAATTGATATTGCGAAGTAAAGATATTAGAAGGAACCCGACAATTAAATGTTTAATGTGTTACTTTGTAGCTTCGACACGTCCATCCCAGGCCTGATATTTACTGATCAATTTGTACAAATTTCGACTCGTCTTCCATCCGATAATCTTTATGGGTTTGGAGAGCACCAGCACAGGCGCTTTAAGCACGATATGAATTGGAGAACTTGGCCAATTTTCACAAGAGACGTCGCTCCTGTGGTAAGGGATCGAATGTCATTTTCTACACAGTTGGAAACGATATACGATATACGTAGAGAATATTCAACGGTTTTCTGTTAAATTTTTATATATATTTCACGAGTATGACAGAATATTAATCTTTTTCGAGAGTAGGAAGAACAAGTAAATGTATATATTTATAAAACTATCTTGAATGCATGTAAATTTGGCATTAACGCTTTCATTTTTAAATCTTCATGATGTTTAGATACATATATTTCCTAAATATATTGTTGCTATGCAGTTTTCTATGACAATAACTAAATTGGAAAAATATTCAGGTAAGAATGCTGTTTAGCCTTGGCTTAAAAAAATTGATAAATTGCTTTTAATTTTCTCTTGTTTCATCTTATTGTATATGTACATTTGTTTTTATTGAATCCTCTAGAAAATTCAATTAGAAGCAATTAAAACCATCAACTTAAATGACTTTAATCACGTCAATAACTACATTTTTATGCTTTTTTCTCATTTAGGACGAGGGAATAAATATGTACGGAGCCCATCCGGTTTACATGAACCTTGAAAACGACAGCAAGGCTACAATGGTATTCCTGAAGAATAGTCACGGGATGGGTAGGTGACACTCTCGAAATAATTAAGAGTACCCTGTGATACCATGACATACCTTGCATCCTCCTCACTATATCTACTTGTTCACACCAATTAAGTCTTTCTTTCTCGCTGTTTTAAGGTAATGGAAATGACGTAGTGCTCTAGATTTAAGCTAACACTTTCTCATATGACAAAATAGATGATGTGATATCTTGATTTCTATTTAAGTTTTTCGTAGCTATTCTTTATGTCACATGCACTTCTTAAAAATTATCATTTACGATTCATTAACATATAATGAGAAACAGTATAATAATTATACAAATTAAAGGCTCGTCCATAGAGATGGGATCGTTACAAAGCAGTTCACAAATTATAATACGTTGTTATTGTTATTAGCCATAATCTATCTCAATTTCCCTGTAAAGCATACAGTCGGAGATGTCATTCGGTGTGGTAGCTTTTAACTTACAACAATTAACGTATTACTGATACCTAGTAGAGATGCTTGGAGTCGACTAGTCTAAATTCCTTCTACCTGCGGTCTGTAACATTAAATACTATCTATTTGATTACGTTTTATTGTATAACAGATGTAGTGTTGCAGCCTAATCCATTTCCTGCCATAACTTACAAAACTCTGGGTGGGAGTCTTGACTTCTATGTGTTCATGGGACCTTCTCCACAGCAGGCCGTCCAACAGTATACAGAAGTAAGGACTAAGCTTAGTATGTGAAGTTCTCGAAGGATCGCTTCGTATTTTTTTATTATTTTTTTTTTTATTATTTGATTATTTTTATTTTGATTACTTGGATAGAAAAGTTGCGTATCATGTAGGAGATTCGCATTTTCTCTTATATCCTGTATTACAAACGTCTTTAGTAATCAAACTGTATTTTAATTATTTTTTTTTCTACAGCCTTGTTATAATTACATTGTCATCAAATAACGTATCCATCTTCCATTACAGGCTATTGGTAGACCTATGATGCCGCCATATTGGTCATTAGGATTCCATTTATGTAGATGGGGCTACAAAAACCTCACTGAAGTCGAAAATATCGTGGAAAGGAATCTGAGGGCTGGTATTCCTCAGGTATACGATTAAAACTGCACTTAGATATACCTAACACCTGTTGCCAACTACAATGTGGCTTGTAGATCTGTTATTAATCTCAACTCGATTCCTAGTTATCTTTCAATGTTTATAGAAGATATTGTATTGTTGTTAAGAAGATCAATATCAAGGCATTACGTAAGAAACTATTACCGACGACGGGTAACGACTGCGTAGATCGGAGCCATCTTAGAAAACTATCCTCATAACAAGTATCTCGCTATACTCAATATCAGAATGCATAATGTCTATCATGGTGTGCTCTATGTCTACGTACAACTTCCAAGCATAGTATGTAATTGATCCTTTGTGCAGTCATCTGGACAGAATCGGGAAAAAATTCGTGTACATAAGTAAATACCTTTATTTGATTTAAAAAAAAAAGAAATTATTAGTAAAAGTTTTCAACTAAACTAACAACTACAGACTATGTGCTTCCTCTGCATGCCGTTTTTGTGTGACAGACACACAGAAACCGACATACAGAACGAATTATCTAAACTGTCAACTAATGAAACATTGAGTTTATTAACACATATAGGGTCACATGTGAATAGTTTCCTTTCCAATGTGTCTCTCAACCATATAAACTAAAGATATATGAAAAAGCCCTACACTTAAAGACGATGTAAAGATTCAAGCCCAAGAAAATCCAAATTTTCTTTCTTCTTTTTTTCAATACAGGACACTCAATGGGGAGATATTGATTTCATGTACAAGAAATTTGTGTTCACTGTGGACAAGGCAACCTTCAAAGAGCTTCCAGAGTTCGTCGACTATCTTCACTCCATAGGAAAGAAGTATATCGTCATAGTGGTGAGCACTTTTATACTCATTGAAATAATAGATAGCAATATTTGATACCGGTATTTAATTAATGAACGTATGATCTTGATCGTAAGTGTAAAGACAAACTCTAAGTACCCCATATTTTTTATTCAGTTACACATTTGTTATTCACGGTCTCAACATTTTCCTCAAATAATTCGTTTAGTATTGATGAAAATTTACAAACATCTCATCATCTTTAATATCACTTATCGTGTGTGGTTGTTTTGCTGGTCTTCATATCTTATAAAGTATTCATACTTTCGAACAGATGAAAATACCGATTACTTTTATTACGTTCTGTTAATACTTACCTGGATTTACAAAGGTTTACTTGGCGGGTGTTGTCGATATAGCAGAATATGTTTACTCTTCTAGATCACTTGGTCTTATTCTTCTTGTACTTTTTCAAAAGACTCCATTATCTTTCGTTGATATTTTGCCTTAGTGTCATAGAATTTAAGTTGGGATTATGATTACTTTCTGATGTTGGTATTTTCTTGTTGCTTTTTATAGGTAATGATAAGAATCCATTTCTATACATTGGTTGGATAAGTAAAATTTATTATCAATATTTTCGAAAAGGTGAAATGTACAAATTTGATCAATGAATCATTAAAATCATATGTAAAATAGTTTCCTAAAAAGGAAACTAACATATTCTTTTAACATTTATTTAATTTAATCATAATTTTCACAACACAGTTGCAAGTTTTCTAACATTTATTACAAGTGATATAAAAGAGCTTACTTTGATAGGATCCTGGTATAGGAAACAACGATACTATCATCACTGAAGCCGCAAAGAACAGCCCCAGTTACAACATGTATCAGGATGGAAAGGATGCAAATATATATGTCAAAAAGTCTGATGGAGTTCAGGATTTCGAAGGAAAAGTAAGCGAATTATGACTAACGTATACCAATTTGTTGTTATAGGAGAATTCTATTTCAGGATATTCATAAAGATTTCATTATCCTATATTTTCGTGTCTTCTTGCAGAATATAGAAAATACACGGTCAGTGTCTGAAGATATAAGATGCATTTTGTCTTTCTGTCCCGAGCCAACATGTAGCATATATCTTAAGACACTGACAAAGTATTCTGTCTATCCTTCAACATTGACTGAAAATCAGATTATTGAAACTTCAACAGATTTTTGTTTAATCTTTGTTTTCTTGACGTTGGTATTGCGCTGAATTTTGCCTGATGACACACGTCAAAATAATTGTTCCGTGCAAAAGTATAGTTCCAAACGCCAATGAATATGACAGTTGAATTAACCTTGTTCACTACAACATATGAAATCGCTTATTTCAATTGTTTTTATTCTTAAATGTATTTTCAAAGTTATTTCTGAAAGTTATTCTGTCAAAATAAGGCACCCGCTAAAATATAGCACCCATTACTGTCGATTAGGCAGTGTAAAAATGTGCGATCTAAATCAATGATTTTCAGGTTTGGCCAGGCCGTACAGTGTTCCCAGATTTTACAAATCCAAACTGCTCATCTTGGTATGCAAAATGGATACGGTATTTCCGTAATTCCGAAAACGTATCAGTGGACGGACTCTGGATTGTGAGTATAATATAATGTATTATTTCTTAATCTCGTACAGCATTTTTCTTCAAATGAGTATGTTTTCGTTCCAAAATCTGTTTTGGCATTCACAGTTAGTTGACGATATCTTGATTTTTAATTAACCCATTTCATTCTTTATAGCATTAGATTTTGCATATGGCGAACAAATGCATTAATTAGATACCAGTTGCCAAGACTGATTAACATTACTGTAAAATAATATTTTCGTAGGTCTCAATTTTCGCAGTTTTTCAAAAATTCACATTTTTATTGACACATGATCACGTGGATTAATACAGCTAAATATGTCTACGTATACAGATTATGAATTCGAAGATTAAGTGGTCCTACGAAATAAATCAAATTGTATCCCCCCGACAGTTAATGATGGCTTATTTTTTTAAGTATTCTAAGAACATATGAGCTAAGAAAACAATCTTAGAGATAAAGTTGGTCGAAACTAGAAAAAACACTTCTGGATATCTGTAAATGAAAAATTCGTTTGATTCAGAGTTCAACATAACCAGATTAACTGTATAAATATCGTATTTGTAAGCATTTGAATTATGATTATAACTATTAAGGTTATAATTCCAATAACTACCTTAATCATTTATGACGACCTTCCTGTTTATTGATTGATATAAAATATAATGCCATTTCCCGTTCATAACTGTGTTAGAACACATTTGCTTCAAAGCAATACATTGTGTTTTCTATACAGCCAGCTGAAATATGGCACCTCTTCTCCCCATGTTTAACGTGGAGTTAATTTGATTATTATATACATCAAACGAAAATGATTTTCAGTTTACTTTGACAGGATATGAATGAGCCAGCGAGTTTTAGCTTTGATGATCCGAATCTTCCTGAAAGTATGAAATGTCAAAATAACAGCTGGAACAATCCACCATTTATGCCACGTATGTGTACCGTAATTGTTCTATGATAACATGGCGCATTTGAAAAGGGCGCTTCCATTAAGTTATCCCTATGGCGGTTTCTTTAGCTTCGGTTTATTGACAGTAACGTTTATTTTTAATACCAGATTGGATCGTGGTGGCAATCTTAGTACTAACATTCTCTTTCATTCTATTTCACATTTGTCTGAATTGTTATACAGGTCAGAGGGTTCTCCATCCTTCCAATATGATTGTTTTTACTTGTAGCTTGAAACTCATTAAGATGGGTATAGATAAATGTACAAAGTATACACTAACATCGAGTCTTATATTAAGTCCTGTAAGCGTCTTTGAGAGATTTGTTTATGAAGATATACTCATTACCGTTCTGTGACTGAATCTTTTGAACGTTGCTTTCTTTTTTCCCATAACAAATATAGAAGTTCGATTCGTTAATTTGCATAACTTTATATATTAATTTCGATCAGTATACTTTAGATTAATATTTGAGATTGTCAAGTGGTGCGGTAAATACTCGGTATTTTTTAAGTTAAATATCCTAACGATGCATTTTTATGTTTTGTTTTGTTTTGTTTAACTAATTAGTCCAAATTACACCGATAATATTATTATACATATAATTTAAAGTTCATATGAAAATCTGTTGTTTCTTGGAACTCTGTGTTTTATATGGATTTTGATATGTTATCAAGCCTCGAAAAATATGTCCTAATATTCATAAACAAGTTTAAAGTTCTTTCATGATAATTTATAAAAATGACATCATACCGAATGGTTTCTGTTTTGCTTAAAAATGGATCCTGTATTGATTTTTGTCTTTATGTTTTGACATTTCTTTTATCATATCTTACTTTATAGACATTTTACAAGGTGATACCGGTGATCTGTTCAGGAAGACCGTATGTATGGATGCCAAGCAGTACTGGGGAGATCATTATAAAGTCCATAGTTTGTATGGTCACTCTCACGCCATTGCCACGCATGCGTAAGTACAGATAACGGCTGCTTGATATTCATAGTGTATGCTGATTATAAAGGATTGCTGCATGCCTGATTGCACTTAGAGTCTAGAAATTACTATTATATCATAGTAAACTTTAAAAGTCGAAAAATAGCCACTGACAAACAATATCTTAATGTTCAGGCAGGCTTTGAAGTGTATACATAGAGAAATTTAGATATTGAATATTTGCCATAAAGGCATTAAAATAAAACATGTTCCTATTTTAGTACCATCGTCATATTGAAAATAATGTTTCTATATTTTCGTAGCAGCATAAGATTCAGCTAAAATTACAATAGCGATACAATCATTGTTTCACAATGTAGCAAATATATTTTTGTTACAGTGCACTTAAAGAAGTCATGCCGGGAAAGCGTCCTTTCATAGTGACAAGGTCGTCTTTCGCGGGAACCTCTCAATACGCTGCTCACTGGTTGGGAGATAATCAGAGCCAGTGGAGACAACTGCCCTGGTCCATTATCGGTAACGTGTTGACGTCAGAATATGACGTCATTTTTTAAGTTTTAAGTTTAACGATAACAAGGACTTAATTGAAATGTATTAAGAGGTGTATACAGTTTGATACATAAGGATAAGACACGTAATTACATTTTATTTTAAGTAATATGTACATACACTTTTTCTAATGTAGTATTCAGTATTTAAATCTATTTACGTATTTCCATAAAACTTGCAAGATATAATTATCTGATTGTTTTTAACTTGAATTAATTATTGATGGTGAGAAATTAAAAGCATTATGATAATCTTTTATAATGACCTGTAGTAATGACATACAGGGGGAAGATCATATTTATATGATCCTAATGTACTATGTTCTCGAGGCTCAAAAGGACAAAGCCATTTTACAAGTGAAAAGGTTATAATACCTGCAATGGTACCTGCAAATAGGTGCTCTATTCCTACATAAATGTACATCTGAAACTGCACTTATCTTGTGTCATAAGACATTCTATTGTCTTCCAGGAATGCTGGAGTTCAGTATGTTCGGATTCTCAATGGTATGATATTTTTTCAAGAAAAATGATAAATGATAAAGCAATTAGCATTTAATAGATTGACAATAATCTTCAATATTGATTTAGTAGTTTCACATAAATTGGTTTTTTATTGCACAAAATTCAGAGTTATTTAAACTAAAAGGTGTTTCAAGTTCGAAGTATTGTAAAATTGTGATAATCAGTGTTCCAGACATGTTTATTTCCACCAAGAAAGGCCATGTGTATTCATTTTGTACAGACATACATTGGTCCTATGGAAATATAAATACACATCGATAAGACCCAATGAGATATTTATCCAATTTTTGAATTTTGTTTTTATATAATTTGAAGATTTATCAGAAAATAAAACGTACCACGAGCAAAGGTTTTATCATTTCTTTGAAGATTGGTGCTGACATCTGTGGATTTTACTTCAATACAAACTATGAGTTGTGCCTTCGCTGGATGCAAGTTGGGGCTTTTTATCCGTTTGCTCGAAACCACAACGCTCGAAAAGGGGACGACGGCAAATTCTTCCGTGTAAGTTCCTCAAAATGTAATGTTGTTGATGCCTTTTGCTGCGCTTGATATTCTTCCTCGTTCGGATTAACAGTATACATGATTTCATGGTAAGGATGTGAAGAATTCTGAGTCATAAATAATAAAAACATGAAATATTCAAGATTTTCAAATTTGTTGTAGATGAAATTATACAAATTTACTTTTACATCAATATACTTTAACTTCAGGACCAAGACCCTGCCTCGTGGGACGAGGAGTTTGTTGGGATTACACGTCATATCCTGTTGATTCGGTACAAAATGCTGCCGTATTACTACACTCTGTTTCACGAGGCACATTTGCACGGCAAAACTGTTGCCCGTCCACTAATGTTCGAGTAGGTATCACATGGTGGTAGAGGATGATGATGATGATGATGGTGGTGGTGGTGGTGGTGGTGGTGGTGGTGGTGGTGGTGGTGGTGGTGGTGGCGATGATGACGACGACGACGACGACGACGACGATGATGATGATGATGATGATGATGATGATGATGATGATGATAGTGGTGGTGGTGGTGGTAGTGGTGGTAGAGGATGATGATGATGATAATGATGGTGGTGGTGGTGGTGGTGGTGGTGGTGGCGATGATGATGATGATGATGATGATGATGATGATGATGATGATGATGATGATGATGATGATGATGATGATGATGATGATGATGATGAATCGTACTCTTTTTAGATTTCCGGAGGATAAGAATACCTGGAATATTGACAGACAATTCCTCATAGGGCCCGCCTTTATGGTCACTCCAGTGCTTGAAGAGGTATGATCATACTAAAAGATTTTATAGATATTAAAACGCTTACTCCATAACTTCGGGTTTTTCATTAAGAAAAAACAATGTTTAAAAAAGGGGAAATTTACGAAAACGCATACTTTGAAACGTATTACAGAACTTTCCACTATACTTACTCTCCTTTGCTACGACCATAAATGGTAATACAATAAATATTATGAATTTGCAGAATAAAACAACCGTTGACGGCTATTTTCCTAAAGGAAGATGGTTTTCCTATTATGATGTAAGTAAACAAGACCAACCTTACAAACAATAATGAGCAAAGCAAAATGAATTTCTTCGTGAGTTTTAACTGACTTTTTATACCGATCGTTTGTCAGGTACCCTTTGTGGTCAGGTTACGTGGTTCGGATCAGTCCAGAAAATAAAGACGCATATAATCTATCTGATATTTAATATGCGTGGACAGATATTAATTGGTCATTGAACACACACTATATATCTCACAACTGCTATGTTTCTTCAAAATCATCCTAAATATAATATTTTTCATGGATATAAATTTTCTTAAATTATGTTTTTTGGTCTTCCGAATGCAAACTTGTTTTTATTTTATGTAGAATATTCTTAAAAAAGCCATTTTTGAAAATTTCTAATTTAGGGAGAGGAAATACATAACCCAGGCGCCATGAATACTCTCAATGCCCCTCTCAGTGTTATAAACTTACATATGAGAGGAGGGTACATTATACCTATGCAAGAACCAGCTAATTCCACTGTTTACAGGTAGGTCACATTGTAGGATCATAACCTGAGACAATGTTAAGACCACAGCGGCATTCATACAAATGACATCTTTGCAGATGTATGTATTCATGCAAGGTGTGTTTGTATCATATCATCTTTTGTTTTACACCTCTTCTTGTGGAAATAATATGTAGATGACGTTTTAAACTTGCCATGGTGTCATCAATAGAAATTATGCACGCGCTCAACTAAATTTTGACATATTTTTCGATCACTCCAAATCTTCTTCAGCGGCTCCGAATCGCTGACGAGGAACGGCTAAATAATACAATTTAAGTCATTACTTAGTTCTAAGTGTATCTGATAATCAATTTGCATCAAACAGTGGTACCCATTTGCATGTCTTTTGTGAATTTTCAAAAATTAAGGCATTTAACACACCGACTAGAACGAAGCAATTGTATGAAGTTTAATGTATATTATTTGTCTATACTTTAACGTTTATCATGAAAGATGCAATGGTGTAGCATAAAACGTATGGTTAATTCTCGTGTTGATCCTTTTGTTACATACAGTTCAAGTTAGCACAACAGATACGATAAAAGTTGATAGTAGAATTCTATTTTTTTTTAAATTGTTTAAAAAATATTTACTCTAAGGACAGTTATTTGACAGAGAAGCTAATCTATATAAAAAAATAGATAAAACTATCAAGAAATAAATTGTCCATATCAGTTTAAACAACAAGAAACCCTCGGGTCATTCAGATTGGTAGAACGTAGAAATGGGTGTCATAACAATTACACTCTCACCAACATTTCATTTTACCGACATAGATAGGATAAAAGCACTTAATTATTCTAATCTCAATCAGAGTGCATTTCTTCTTATAAAATGCTTGAAAAGATCGTGTTTTTATTAATTTATCCATTTTTCAGTCGAAAACGTGACTTTGGTTTAGCTGTTAATTTCGATGAAAGTTTCCGTGCTGATGGACATCTGTTTTGGGACGACGGAGAATCGGAAGGTAGATAATTTCTCTCAAAATCTTAGCTAAAAATGCCACAGAGAAGAGTTAATGTTGTTCTCTTATATGTTTAAGTTTTCAGTTTACTTTCTTAATTCGATTATTTAAGTGAATAATAGTTTTGATGGCATTTATTGGTACTATTTGTTTAAAGTTGAAACTAATTCAATACTCGTGTTACATTTGATGACTGATATACTTTTCCTTGGTGTTTTACAGATACGTTTGGAAGTAATGAATATCTTTTGGTACATTTCAACGCAACGAAGGTATTTTTTTTTTTCAAAAATATCTTCTTTTCAACTTCTTTTTATATTTTATGTTCACGTTAATTTCAAAGCATATATTACTATAACATCTAATGACCTGACTGTAAAAAACTGTAAATATAATATGAAAACATAAACCGTTTTATTGAACATGTAGGGAGAACGCCTTGACATAACTGTGATACATGATGGGTATGCAGAAGCTCGCTCACTTAAAATTGGTATGATAGAACTGTTCGGATTTATATCTTTTCCTGGAGAGCTATACATCGACGGGAAAAGACTTCCAGCCAATCAGATCAGGTTTAAGTATCACGTAAGTAAAGTTTCTTTTTGATTTGAATATGCTATCATAAGCGTACAATCTATAAATATATATATATATATATTTTTTTTTTTTTTTTTTTTTTTGCTTAGAAAAGCAAGTCTAGTACAACTTATTAACATGTTACAATTTGTCCATACATTTGCTGACCTAATAATGGTTTGAGAGAAACTAATACGTTTGTAAAATTGGACCACTAACTTAAGATTTAATTGAATATTAACCTGAGATAATGTATCGAGATTTTACGGTAAAACGTAAAGAATAATATCGAGAATACTTTAAATATTCATATAGCTGGAGATTTGACTGTATACACATATAAAAGAGGGGCATGCAACTGCGGGGATCATCAGATATTCTAATTACAGAAACAAATTTAGATATGATTTCAAGTTTTGTTTCTGATGATTATAGATACTTAGGAAACATAATTCGCTCTGGTATATTGAATTATTACAGAAGAAAATATTCATTGAAAACGTCATTTTTTCATTTGAATATAGAAATCGTAAATCTATTTCATACCGATGGAAATAGAATTTATGTCGTAATTGTTATATATCTACAATTAAAAAAAATAATAATCGAAAAATGGCGTTATGCTTTATTGAATACGCCAGAATACATTCTTTTGAGTTAAATGAAACGTTATGCCTCGCAAATCGCACACATTCCATTTACAGGTGAAACAATCCTCTGTTTTTCAGTATTGAAGTTCTGTAATTCATTTCTCAAAATTTGTATTTCAATGACTGATCATGATTCCTTTTTATTATTTTTTTAATTATTCTACCCGCTTGATATTTGTAGGTTGTCCAGATCGTTGATCTCAACATCCCTATCGCACAGAATCATACATTGACATGGACAGTCTATTAATGAACGGTTGCTATAGATCATTCTATAGTTAATTGTAGAATGGTGTCATTTATCCTGAATTATGTATATATTTAGATAAAGGTATCGCTACAAACACTTGTGTCCAGTATAAAAATCACAGGAATATTATACATATCCTGAATGACTTATGTTTCTTTCAATGAAATTCTTCCTGCGAATGTAACAGTGTTAAAGTCAAAGTATTTATGTGTGCATTAATAGTATCAAACCATGCTTGTGGAACTTAGTCCTTTGTATGTGGAAAAATGACATGGCTATACATATATCATGGATACATTTCTTATAGTGACTATTTCACCCAGGGGAAATAACTCTTTCTGTCATGTAGAGGAAGGCGAAATGTCTGCATGTCTCTGTTCTCTTACCTTACGTTTGCTTTCACCTAGTAATATTCTCATTTGTGTAATAGTCATTTAATTGTAAAATATGTTCTTTTTATTGTATTGGGTTTGGAATAAAGTTTTTCATTTGCTTTAGGGCTGGTGTTTTGTTTTGTTTTTTTTTTTGTTTTTTTTTTTTTTTTTTTTTCTATCTCTCTTTTTTGTATTCGTTAAAAAACAACAAGAAACTTAATCATTATCAAAACTCAAATGCAATAAAACGAATGCAAAATATCAATAACAGAAAGATTTACACGGGTACTCCGGAGAAAGTTCAAGGAGAATAAAACCAGGTGTTCTGGAATAGTAAGCGTCTTCTGTCTCATCGACGACAACCGCCATCTAAACCCTGGCACAGATTATACTCTAGTTTTAAATTCTCACCCAAGTTATTTCATTACCCACTCATATAAACGTATACAGTAATAAAGACACTTATAACAAATCTATATTTTGACTGATGGTAATGTATATGTAATTGAAATATGTTTTTGTATATCAATGTTTATTGTAAGTTGCATGGAAACCAAATATAAGAAAGCGCTTAAAGTCTATACCTATGCATTGTTATCTACTTTCGATTTGGGTAAGGTTAACCTTGTTATCATTACTTTTTGTAGAAAATGAAAGTAATTGAAGATATAACCACATATATGTTTGTTTATATGTAAAGTTACTGATAAACCTACATCTGTAAATAGAAACCAATTAACTAAATCAATTAGACCACATTCATAATTCAACAAACATCTGGTGCTATTAAATATGTCCTCGCATTGTGCGCATCAACAGAGCAATATATATTTATACGTTGCATTCAATATAGACTGTGCAATCTATTCGTCGTGGGATTTGTATTACATTTAAGCAGAGAAATGACGGTGCATACAATGAAATAAGTTGAAGTTTGGCGAAAAATAAAGACTTTGTAAATACTAGCATGATACTTTCAGTTCAATTAAAGAGATTTATTCAATTTTAATTTTGACGCAGCATCATTCTTCAATGAAAATAATGCTTATGACGTCACGTCACACCCAGGTCATTATCACAATTGATTCCGGGTCCTTTTAAAGTCAGCAGATCTTCAGTATAGTACAGTGGTGGGGAGTTGAATATTTGTTTCATTGTCTTGTCGATTTAGATTCCATTGCACTCATTTTAGTATAGTACTATGCCAACACTCCAATATTATTCGCGTTGAGAAATCGACATTGTATGATGTATTCTGGTATAATTTGGTTATATGAAAATAAGCAAAATTGTTAATAATATATATATATTGATTTTATTTCAAAATCTGAGAAGATTAGGTAAGTATGGTATAGATAGTAGGTATTGTTCAGAATGAAAGTAATGACCCTATGAAATACGGCTCCACTCTTTGTAGCAATTCTTGATAATGTGTACACATTGCTTTAAAACCTCTCCTCATAAAGTTCTTTGTTAGAAGATAAGATATTTACTGGGGCACGTTTTAGTATCTACAGTAAACATCAAGTTCTTTCATAATGGCATGTTATATCTTAGTATGTGGTCTATTCAACAGTGTATGTTATTGTACAAACAAAGTTTGAAATATGTGCTGCGTGTAAATGTCTTGAGTTCAAGGTCGTTGAGTGAAGGTATTTAGATCTAGAATTTTGCAAATGATATGATTTGAAAGAAATGAATTTTGCATTTTTGTGACAAACGAATCATGACGAAATACATATGTAACGTCAAGTTATTTGGTATCATAATGATATATTTTCAGAAATATGAATGGCGAATGAGACAACCATGACTGTTGGTGTTTCCATTTTAATTGTATTTCTGGGATAAACGATAGTTTTTATTTACTTAATCAAAATGAGAGCAGAAGTACCGAAGAGAAATAAAAAACAAATAAATTCTGGTAACTATCACAAACGGGAAAAAAATGAACTGAATATGAAAGCGGGTGTTCCAAAGAGTGTTTCTTGCTCAAAATATGGTACCGTTCTATCGAATCATTGTAAAAACTTCATATGATATTTTGTCATGAGATAAATATTTCTCAAAATAATTATATATGTTCTCTTCTTAAAGAATAAGACCATTTTAAAGTATAATTGCACATATTGACAACCTTGCAACGATATCAACTATCTGAATGAAACGTGTAAAGTTGTTTATGAGCAGTGTAGAATATGACATAAAACAACACAGGAATATACTTTGTATTAATGTGGTGTCAGGTCGGCGTTTCATAAATAGCTATACAGTGATTATATATCTATAAATATTGTAGAGAAGCAATTCGTCATTTCGTCAGAAGATCGCCAACGTGATGTGACGATGGTTGTTATGATATCTTTATGGCGCATACTTATCACCCGTATGATAAACAAGTCTTCAAACTCGTGATGGTATCTGTTCCAACGACTACATTAAAACAAACAAATCAAAGGCCACGCCTTCTACGTTCAAGGACTATGTAGTACTAATAGTAATTTGAAAAGTAATACACTCTCATATCTTTCCTTTGTTGCACGCTAGACATATTGATACAGCCATATTTTATTTCAGCATCGATGTAGTGCTTTTGATCCTAGTAAATAAACTATTAAGCTAACAATGCTTAGCTTAATGACCAAAGGTCAAAGGTAACAGTCGGCTTTGCTTCAGCTGTTATAACCGTCATTAAATGATCATAAAAGCCGTTCTCATAGGGCAATGTCTATATATCGTGAATCGTTCAGTTCAGACTTGCTAAAGTCCACTTATAATCAATTAATTTGTTGTCGATATTCCTATATTGTGTTTCGATGGAAATGTCTTTTTTAGTTTGTCAATGAACACACCTCGTTTTGCATTTGTGAATCTAAATGCATAATTTAGGTAATCTTGATTTATAATAATGAGTAATGAATATAAAGAATGTTTTTCATATTGTTGTTGTCATTGTCAAAATTTGGAATGCTGCATTGTCTTAAAATTCAACAATATTTATATTTTTAAGATTAGGACAAAGGAAATGCATTGCAGGTAATAATTAATTAGAGAAATACTATTAATGAAGGTTATCGGCATAGTTTTTAACTATATGTTTTTTCATCCCCACGAATGAGCTAATGAGAGAAAGGTTATTTCAAAAGCGAAAGTATTTTTTCGGAATGATATATGTGGAAAATTTCGCAAATGAATCTACTTTTGTTGAAATTTTAAAATCACACAAAGATAGATGAAACAAAAGGATCGCATAAAATATGTTAAATTTCTAGTAATTTAGTTGATAATTAGCATATGTGATGGGGAAATGTTGGAAAAAGAAAATGTATATTGGACACAGGTTTTCAGACCATTGATGACACCAGATGTGGCCATGTGTTTACAAAGCGAGGACAGTAACATAACGTTGGGTTTAGTGCTGAACACTATTATTGATCATCGTGTAGGATAATTGACATCAATTTTCTGTGACAGGTGTACTTAGTCAGGCAGGTATTTTCTTACCACATATCGCGTGTATATATAAAATTGCTCCTTCATCACCTTGTCACCTTTAATATATACTATTCATCTTTGGTCTTGCCCTTGTAACAAACACACTGCTGAATCAATATCAATACAGACGAACTCATTCATCATCTGACTAAACATCTATTCTTTGAAAATTGGCTGTATTCTCAGTCACATCATTTGTTGTAACCATTCAATGACCAAACATGTCATCTGCAGAAAAAATGGGACAGTAATTCAGACACAAGGGCTAATATACGTTCTTTCCAAATTATATATCGTATCTATTTTGTACCTTGTTTATCTAAATCTTTTGTCCGAAATAATCATAATGTGTTGTGTTTACTATCCACGTGTCAGTAAAATATGTTTTATTATCCCTTTTCTTGGACGATCGATGACCTGAGGTCAGTCAATCTGATTGCTGATAAAACAAACTAACGTGCAAACGCACAGTTAGGCGTTGGTTTTGTATACAAATCTTTCTGTTATTTACAACAGTACACAATGTCACTTTATTTCCTTATGTATATGTAGTTTACAGTAAAGGACACTCCCTTTGGTGTTTGAAGTTCATGTTTCATCCTACTTAGTAAGGACGTGCTAGGGAATATAACATTATTTCCCGATACTATTATCTTATATCATTTCAGCTGTGATGTTTGCATTCATGATAAAATCATTATTTGCCCCTTTGATGATACTTTAAATTTAAATCTTATCACAAATATTGAGTTTTAAATCGAACTTATTTTCTTTTTTAATATAAGTTCAATCAAACAATCAATTCAATTTAGCTACAAATGTACAAAGTAAAATAGACACTAGCCATTTGACAATCATGTGAAATTTCTCATATGTATGGTCTGTAAGTGAAATAGCATCAAAGCATTCATTGTGACGTCATTTCTTAACGGAAAAGATAAACAGATTGTGTTTTCAGTCAAAAAGGAATTGCAATTTACATTATATCCTGCCTTGGTTAATATATATATTGGAAGAATTGCACAATTGCTAGAGCCATATATATCCCTGATGAAAAGCCGTCGGTCACAGCATGTTTTCCTTGCTGATAACTCATTGAGAATATCTCCTATTTATTTATAGACACACAGCCAATAATAAAGAAGTGAACTTATAAGGTATAAATAGAGATCATTCTGTACCAATAAACATGACCGGTCCGTTACGTTGCCACTGGTCAGCGGGTTATAACGAGGTTTTTAAATGCTTATATCACATCAGAGAAGCCAAGAATGTCAGATTCTCCAGGCCAAAATCAATAACAGATTAGCCCATATTCTCTAAGGGGAGGGATTGGCACCTTACCGAGAATGAAAAATCATCCGAACGGCTTAAGATGTTAAGTAGGATTTCTCCCTTATCATATGTCAAGTAAAGTTATATTAATTTCATTTATAAGAAAGATTCACACTGTATCCAATCAAAACAAATATATTTTCGTTAAAACTTGAAAAGTAACAGAAAAGAAAATAATGTGGTAGAAGATGACGCCCTTGTACGCTAAAAACGTCACCACTTAATCATCGGATCGCGTCATCATTTACGTCATTACGGTACTTTGTGTTCGCCGTTTCTACTATGATAAAGTAAACAGTGTGAGATGAAATATTTGATGAAGACAAAGAAAACACAACAAAGGAGACAACATATATAGCTTCATGTTTGTCATAAAATGGCTACAGTTGTGATTGTTTGTCATATAAAAAAATCATCGGAAATTATATTCTATTTGTCATTTCTGTTTAAGCTCATTTCGATGTTCTGTTATTTCTTCCTTTTCGCCTAAACCTGAGCTTTAACATGGCTGTAACGAGTTATGCTTATTAGTTTAATATCCATTGTAATAACTCAGGGGAACACGATGTGGTCCTATTGTCTTCCCCACGGGGCAACCACTGAAGCATATTGTACCTGATACCATTTCCTAAGAGTCATTGAAAGCAAACAAAAAATATTTTTCCTTCAATATGTTTACTAATATTGAGAAATTCTATTTCTTTGTGCAGTATGAAGCTGAATGTGTCTGTGCTCTTTGGTTTGCCTGTTGGTTATACCTTGGTAAAACTAGTATACCTTGTTCTTATTTCAGAACGTGACATTATTTATGTATTAGATTTGAAGACAAGAAGCAACTGAGCTCTGAAACCGAGAAATAGTTAATAAAGTTTACGTATTTCATTACAAAACATTTTTCATTATTCTGAAAACAACAAATGCAATGCCAAAATTTCAATGGAATCATAATCCAAATTCAAACTCAATAAAACTATGGCAATATATGGAAAAAATACAGACACTCGTGAAAAGTACCAAGAGAATAAGACCAGGCATTCCGATATAGTAAGCGTCCACTGCTTCATCGACGAAACCCGCCATCTTGGTCAATCCAGGTAAGGCTTAATCCCAAATGAGAATACGGTTAACAACGCAACCAATATCAACAAATAAATAAGTCGTTAAGAATTAGGATTCTTATTTTCATTCTTATTCGACGCACATGCTGTGGTGATATCATTACAACCATTACAATGACAACAAGATACAACGCGAAATTTCAAAACACATTACGAATAAAAGTCTAAAATCAATGAAAAAGTAAAAAAAATAACAGGACCAGGTGTTCCGGAATGCTAAGCGTTTTCTGCTTTATCGAGTACACTAGTCACGTAGATCTGTGGGATTCTAACTAGTGTCACTAGATTAAGGTAAACAAAAAATAAACTAGCATCGAGCATATCAAAAATGTTGCATTAGAAAAAGAAATGTTTTAAACAATTACATAGATTATGAGTACTACTTTAGGGTGTTCATAAAAATGTACCTACCCAACATGTGACATTTTGTTTCGATTGAATCGTAAAAAAATATTCATTCTTTGCTTAATTGGCATACAATACAAAAATAATTAAATGAATATAATATGAATACATAAACACAAGGAAAAATTAAGGATAGACAATCTCATAAACATATTGGATGGTAATGATATAGTCTTTCTTTTGAATATTTAGCTTGCTTATTTCAATACGGTAAAGAAACTGCAGTTATGACCCTGGTGTTAGCGTTTTTAAAATTCGAATTATATTTTGAATTTTGAGTAAGCAACACCATGGAATAAACTCTAAAGTGAATACTGGTGACAAATCAAACGATTAAAATCCTGTCGTAAAAATCCAGGCAAATCCATTTAATGTCAATCCCTCAAAATATTTACCGAGAAAGTACCACTGATAACATAGATTAATAAAATGCTTAAATGTATTTGCGTAAAGCTACAAAACAAACCCCATATTCTTTTGAAAAAGAAGCAAACTATATTAAGACTAGACGAAATAAAAATACAACCGTGACCAATATAGTTCTATTTTTAGATGTAAGAGCCTCTCTTCCTTCGTCACAAATCAATGTATTGCCTGCTATAAGTAGTTTGTAGAGTCGCGATAAGAATTCGGATACATAAGTACATTATTCATTGAACACATATCGAGAAATTTCAAAAGGAGTTCATATATATTAAAAAATTGCAAAGTTAAATATTTAAACACGATATTGAAGAATTTTGGTTTATAAGCAGCCACTGTCATAATCCATGGGATTTTCCAGGGCTGCAAACCCTGGTGTTCCTGGGAAAACAGAATCAATATTATTTTTACTTTCAACTACATTGATTGACCAAATGGGAATATTATAACTTTATTAATCACTCTCGTTAAAATCAATACTTGTTCCCCTTAAAGATCTGAAGATATATTTCATTATATGCCTATTGTGCTCCCTCACCCCCCTCCCCAGCGTGCCATATAGTTAGACCAGGGCTTAGATTTACTTTGCCGTTAAGTATGCGACGTACCTGTTAGGCCTCAAGGTGTGGACGAAAGCCGAGATAACGAGTCACGTGACACTCCGCCGACTCCGAATCGATTTCATCTGACTGTGATGCGTGGATATATAGACCCCGGTCTGTCGTATGTTTACATCGTGTTGTGATATCCTCTGGTGGTTTAAATATTATCTTATCTGTCATGTTCCGAGGATAGGGTGCTAAAACCAATATCCATGTTTAGGCCTGTACTCTCACTAGGAACTTGGCATACACTCATAGCATCGTTAGCTAACTCTGTCGTGTATGCCTTCGCTGTCAGGAGTATGCAGACAATACATATTTTATGCAACATAAACTGCCATCAATATATATACCAACATTTGTGACAGGAGAAATTCTTAGAATGTTTTTGTGATCGAATTCTAACGAAATTCGGATACATTCATAATGTTCATTTTTTTAGCCTGATGTGAATTTTTGGAGTAAATATATTTCTACAATGACGGATTAAGCATATATAAGCTTCATGGTTCGCAGACAAATAGTGTGATACGCATAGCTACCTACATAGTGTTAAGAGACAAGCCTTGCATACTAAATTCGACAAAATGTTTAGCTCTTTAAAGGTAAGAGCTAAAATAACGGAGAAAGATCCCGTGTTCAAAGTTCGTTATATTGGATGTACAGAAACATTCGTGGCTACAGGAAAGGGCTGTACCAATATCCCCGTCCAAAAATTATGGGATAACGCCGGAGAGGAAAAAACTCTTAAACGTACCACAGTTCAGATTAATACCAACGGTATACTCATGGCGGATATGGAGAAAAAGGGGAAAAGTGCACAGGACAAATTATTTAACATAGAGAATATTTCATTCTGCAACGCTGACTGCATTCTGAACGAGAGAATTTTTACTTGGATTTGTAAAGATGAATCATCGCCCAGCCTCATCTGTCATGCAGTCTTGTGTAGCAGTAAAGAAAAAGCGAAAGCAATGGCGTTGGTTTTGTCACGTGCATTTCAGATTGCTTATAAGGAGTGGCAGATGAGTAAAACTAAAGTAACGAGAGAAAGCAGGAAACAACAGACCAAGGACATCGAAAAAGCTGCAGAATCTTCCATTCCAAAAAGGCAGTATAAAAACCACAATGCTGCAGATTTGAATCATACAACAGTCATACGTACCAAAAGTGCTGCAAGTTCAAACGGTTCAACCGGAAGTTCAGACACAAGGAGGGACTCCGAATGCCAAACTGAACAGGCATCCGTAAGTGAGTATCTTAACACTAACAATGAATCCTTATATGAGGTTCCGAAAGATCTCATAGACAGATCAGATTCAATAGAATCGAATGGACCTTTTTCCGGAAGTGCGGCCATTTTGGATCCAGATGTTGAAAACGAACTTTCGAAAGATATTTCTGTTCAAGCAATTATTGATGGGGATGAAACAGACTCAGTTTCTAGTGGCAGTAAATAAGTGAGGATGTGCATGTGCAAAACAAGTTTCATATCAAAATGATGTAAGTAATTAGTATGTTGAAATGTTATTATATTGATTATAAATTCACGCTGTGTCCACATTGTATTGTAGGTCAGTGGTTCGCATTTTTTATGGATGATGTGTGACATCTTAAGAATATAAATTGAATAAACTAGAAGCAGAAAGTGAACCGATTTCCTTGTTTTTATTTGAGAGAGAGAGAGAGAGAGAGAGAGAGAGAGAGAGAGAGAGAGAGAGAGAGAGAGAGAGAGAGAGAGAGGGAGAGAGAGAGAAAAGAGACGCACACCCTAACCTTCTTACTGTGATGAAATATGTAGTTGAACAACTGATAGCACACAGTATATAACAACATTATAAAAATGAACTGTGTTACATATCTCTTTATCACAGCAGTACTACCGATAAAATATTATGTTTAGCAATATTGATTGAAAGTACTGAAAACCAAACACTGAAACTTTTAACATCAGATATAGTAGAATATTACTATGATTAAAACTGCATCACACAGCTGTTCCGTCCTTCAAGGACTCATTAGCGATGCAAAAGACCTTACATAATATTTAATCAGATCTGATAAAGTGTTTAAGACACTTAAATTCCAACTTATTTAATCAAGCATTTATCGATACTAATCAATAATCGATGATAATGTGTTATTAAGTTGAGCATATCCATACAGGAGAATTCATCCATCCATAGATGTTGACAGACAACGTCATTCATAAATAACGCATGCTGTCCAAAGCACGCTGTCACTCCGTCCAAGGTTGACTATGGGAAACCAACAATAACACGGACAATGCATTGTGTTCCCCTCGAATGACACGGACACACTCCACAGTGTTTATAGCTCAAATAGACTTGCACATGTCCCTTGTAAAGTCGAACCCTTTGGGCTTTTGGGAATGTCATTTTCCAGAACAAGATCCTATCTCTGTTATCTAGTCTGTATATCCTTTGCTATTTGGAAATTAGGGGAGGGAGACAAATATTGCACGGAAAGTATCGTGAAAATGAATCTTAACAGGTACGTTCAAATGAATGATGTCAATAGTTAAAACTTGTGTCATCAAATTTCATCGATTTCAGAATAAAAGACCTATGTGCATGACATAAAAAAATATAAATAAAAATAAATATTGTTTTATATGTATTATTAGGAATCAAAACACATTTTATGCAGATTGAATGAAACACCAGATAGAAAGATTTACCAAAATGTTTAGAGCAAACGATGGTAGCAAATTCGGCATCACCACAATTGGTCCTTTCTTGGAAAAAAAAACAGCATGACTTATGTTTGCTCTTAAAACCAGTTAGGTTAGGTGAAAATAAAACGAGGATTCGACAAACACATATATTCAAATAAAAAAATTTAATGGCTTACAGCAATTCTTTTTAAAATTACGACCCACAGATAAACTACGCATTTATCACACACAGTTAACACAATAGGCGAGATAAGCAGAACAGAAGAATTCCCCGGATAAGGTATGTTTTAAGTGTTTCATTTACCAGCATCCCTATACAACGATAAACACAACATTTACACGAGATTACACAACACCTTGTCTAACGTCTACCTCTGGCAAGTATCAAAATACAGGTAATGAATATTCTACATTGTTCATCGTTGCCTCGAGAACGCTGTAATGTATATGTACAATGTAGATTTCAAAATAGCCTCGAGGGTTTGATTGTGTTAGCAGGTACAGCTGATGATTTACGAGGCTGATATGGAATGTCGAATTTTATTTTGGCAAAATTAACTTACCTGTATAACTCAATTTAGCATATGTTCTTTCTATCTTGGACATCTGGTATTGTTCTAGTACTTTCTCATGAGTTTACGTGTAAATCGATCTTTTGTTCATATTTGCCTTAGTTGTGTTGCATTTGAGTTTAGATTTAATCATGTTGACGTGTTGATAATTTGTTGATTTTTTTATGTTATATGTGTCCTGTATGACAGATTTATAACACTGGCTATGATCTTATATAATTAGATGTTATTAAGAGAGTACAAAAGACACACATTTATATCAAAATAAAAAAGAGCTACACAATAAACTAAACTACAATTCACAGCTGTTTTGTTTTTCTTAGAACCGTTAGTAATGCTACATCATACAGCTGTTTTGTCCTTTGAGGACTCGTTAGTAATGCTACATCATATAGCTGTTTTGTCCTTTGAGGACTCGTTAGTAATGCTACATCATATAGCTGTTTTGTCCTTTGAGGACTCTTTAGTAATGCTACATCATATAGCTATTTTGTCCTTTGAGGACTCGGCAGTAATGCTACATCATATAGCTATTTTGTCCTTTGAGGACTCGCCAGTGATGCTACATCATACAGCTGTTTCGTCCTTATAGGACTCGTCAGTGATACTACATCATACAGCTGTTTTGTCCTTTGACTGTTTTCTACATCATACAGTCCTTTAGAGTCAGTAATGCTACATCATACAGCTGTTTCGTCCTTATAGGACTCGTCAGTGATACTACATCATACAGCTGTTTTGTCCTTTGAGGACTCGTCAGTAATGCTACATCATACAGCTGTTTTGTCCTTTGAGGACTCGTCAGTAATGCTACATCATACAGCTGTTTCGTCCTTATAGATGAAACCATTTTTTTTCATTACTTTGTTTTTGTAGTTCCAAATTATCTGACTAACACCTTAAGCAGTGTTTAGTGGTGTACGGCAAGACCTCGTGATAGGCCTTGCAGTCTTGGACTGACACTACTACACATAGCTGTCATTTAAAAGGTAATGATGGACCCTACAGGTATTAAAATCACAGGTGAGATAGGAAAGTTAATTAGAAATCTGACATTAACTGATGAGTAAGGTCGCTCGATGGATTAAACACACAGTAATGTACGCCCACAAGCCTGAAGTCCTAGACACAGGCTCGTGTAATAACGGACACTGTATGCATTTCCATAGTGGTATTTTAATCCAAGAAGAAGATTTTTATTTGAGAAATATAATCGAAACTTAATTTCTGAGTAACCTTAGTTGTTGTTGATGATGATGATGATGATGATGATGATGATGATGATGATGATGATGATATTGTCGTTGTTGGCGTTTGTTTATCAAGATATACATTATAAGAATGCCGTTTACATTTCACTGAGGTACTTATTTTAACGAAAAAGTTTGGGAACAGATACATCTAATTTCGATTGATACTACCCACGAATTAGAAAACAATATGGTAGTGATATTAATCATGGAAGAGGTTTAGGTTGAAATTGAATTTTCCAGGGACGTATTTAGTAAAATCTTTTCATGTATGGATTTGACACCTAAATTTCTGGAAGAGGTCTTTGACCTTGACCTCTATCTCAAGACCTCCAAGTGGATATACCTACTTCGTATTTACATATACGGCGACCCCGGAGCGTGTGTGATCTCCAGGGATAATAGAGGGCCCTTTTGATAAGACAGTGTAATGGTAACAGGCAAAAGTGAGATAGGATTTTAGAAAGTGTGTAGTTGTTCCCTTAACGACATGTATTGACCCCCATCCACTCCAGATAAGTGGTATGTTGACCAACTCGAACCCGGATAAAAACAAGTATACAACAACGATAACGGAAATACCTTCGTCGCCCGTGTCTTTAACAAGCTAATAAGATTTTTCGTGAGACAGTGTCCTGGTCGTGAAAACTTGGCTATAATTTTGTCAAACACCACACACGATGTTTTCGCACAAACGGATTCAAAATGATCATTAACTTACTTACCTACATTCACGTCATGCTTGACATCTTAAAATGTTGTCTTTTTTCGTTATGTTCTCACTAAAATACACTTACGAGATTCCAAAGAGTAAAAAATGATAATAGCATTTTAACATGATCTACAATACATGTACGGTTGAGAGTTATGTCAATGAAATTTCCTTGTTATGGAATTAATGAGATGTTGGTATGTATCTCATATAAGTCGATCGTCAGTGAAAACAAACCTGCGTCAGCATGCACTGTCAAATTCCCGACCAAAAAATCCAATATAAACAGAATCTTACATGATGAAACTATTTAAACAAAAGAACTAATTATACAAAAACACTTTAAATAAGTACAACCAAACGAAAACCACGTGTTCTTAGTGAGTATAGGAGTATGAGTTACGGCTAAATATCAGCCATTTGCATGTCCAAATTATTATTTCTGGCGAATTTCAGATTATTTAGATATATCTGAAAATTACATGTATTAATGAATAGAAAGATTTGATGGATGGATGGATGGATGGATGGATGGAAGGATGCATGGAAGGATGTATGGATGGATGATGTATGGATAGTCGAATGGGTGGATGGATGGATGGATGGACAAATGAATGGATAGATGGATGGATGGATGGAAGGACAAATGAATGGATGGATGGATGGACGAATGAATGAATGAATGAATGAATGAATGAATGAATGAATGAATGGACGGATGAACGAACGAACGAACGAACGAACGAACGAACGAATGAATGAATGAATGGTTGGATAGAAGGGCGAATTGTGTGGAGAAATCAGAAGCTGAACTTTACACAGCTTTTCCTTAACTTCTTTTTACAATGTAGTTTGGAATTCCGTTCACTACTGACATGTATCGGAAATTTGTCCTACATCACTCATCTGTCTGTCAGGTCATACACCTGTGTACTGCAGGCCCGATCGGAATATATCTTTCGGACCTTCCGGATGGTCATCAATCAATATTTCATTGAATAATTTACTGTCGTGATGGAACTGACCAAGCGGGAATTCCTGTGTATCAGGGTGTATATTCATTCAAACGGGTGTCAATACACACAAGAGTTAACACGTTCGGTCCTAAAGGTGATGTTGTGTAAGCATGTGGTGAAAGAATATTTTGCTCCGGAAACTTGTAAGAAAATATACGTCCATGAAACTCAAGTGCATCAACAGACTACAAGTTTGTTTATTTATTTTTTTT